TGTATGGAGCGGAAACATTGAGAACTACCAAAGCCATCATCCAGAAGATACAAGTATTTATTCAATAACAGTTGTCTACGCAAAATACTTCGTATTTTTTGGCCAGACACGACCAGCAACAACGAACTGTGGGAGAGAACAAACCAGATTCCAGTGGAAGAGGAAATCTGGAAGAAGCGATGGAAGTGGATAGGACGCACACTACGAAAAGCACCTAACTGTGTCACGAGGCAAGCCCTCACATGGAAACCTCAAGGCAAAAGGAAAAGAGGAAGGCCAAGGAATACACTACGCCGAATAATAGAGAAAGATATGAGAGGAATGAACAAACATTGGACAGAACTGGAGAGGGAAGCCCAGGACAGAGTTGGTTGGAGAAAACTGGTGGGCGGCCTATGCTCCATTGGGGGTAACAGGCGAAAGTAAGTAAGTAAGTGACTACGAAATTCCGACCCCAAGAATTAGATCGCAGTGATCCGAAGTAGCGGCTCGCTCAACTAAAACATTATATTGCGAGACGCCATATTAAATCTGTGTGAACTCGATAATGTGGCTTCCGCTCTGTCCTCCCTCCTTCGGCTACTGAGACAATGCGCGATCTAATTTTGAATCTATGTAAGTTACAACCATACACCATTTTACGGCCTGAGATCGCTAATCACCTAACCGCATCTGACGGTCAAATAATCCAAAGGTTTATCCAGGGTGAAACACTAGGCAATATGTTTCCCTCCTAGTTCTTGCGTTTCCTCCAGTTCCTAGTTGGCGGAAACACCGCGGGTGAAACGTTCTTATAACAACGATGGGCATGAACTCTCTCATACTGCGTCCAGCATTATTTGGATGCACATGACTTGGAAATAAAACTTCTCCCGAAGCAATTCTGAGGTTACAGCTGATCAGACGCCCGGGTAGAGGGTGAGGTTTGGGCCTAATGCAAGAGAAGAAGACAAGTGTAGCAGCAGCCTTTGCAGTAGCAGATCTCAAAGAAAAAGCAAGATCCTCCCGGTAAAGACAAAGTGAACTGCTCAAATCACACCTGATGGGGAAGTTTGGGAAGATGTAGAAGCCACAACATATCTGGGCATTATCACTGGTGAGCAAGGTGGGTCTGACGCATATATGAGGGCGCAGGTTGGAAAAGTAAAGTCAGCAGTTCTCCTTTTGAAGAACATGTGGAATTTAAAACAACGGTCAACCGGCACCGAACTCACAATTTTCATTCAGAACGTTGAGCAGCTGCTGCGGTTGTTCATTGGATTAGACTTAGATATTGCGATTCTGAGGATAGATTTCTAGGGGGATATGAATTTCTAGTCGACATGAAGGAAGGGCATTTGATAGTTGCAGAAACTTCAGGTTACACAAAGAGCGCAGGAAATCATACCATTTCTTCAGATTTGGTACAAACTCCACCAGTCGGGTGTTCTCCATTCCACAGCTGAAAAGCACTCCGTCTACAGTTGGTCCTAAAGAAGAACGACGTTGACGGGACTGTGTGGTCTACTACTTGTCCTCATGTCAATGGATGTTCCAAGATTTTCGTTCACACACGATCATAGTTCTCCTCTTTTTAAGGCCAGGGTGAACTTTGGTTTCTCCCAGGCTACCGAATACCGTAATGAGGTTCTACAGAACTCCATTTTAGAACTTCTCATTTAAATTAAGTGAAATTTCCATCCTCAGCACTCATCATCTGAGCTATTGCTTTTCGCTAACAATGTCAAATTTCGGGGAGAAGTTAGCCAGCAATCTCATAAGCTGTATCTTCAGGAAGATCCAACTCCACTTCAAAGTTGGGCGAATGACAGCTTTCGAGGCAGATTATGTACACAACTCAGGTAACTTCTCAAGAGATGTCCCAAGTTGATAAAGATCTAAGAGTCTTTGTGCCCGAAGATCTGATGTCTAACGCTAATTTTAACAAAAAACCTTTCGAGGAAATTGTGTACTATTATCATTAAAGCGCAGTTTTGGTCAGTTTGGTAGCAGAAAGTTCCAACTTCTCCTGAATAGCTTTATTCGGCCACACATAGGGTAGCGAAATACTGTTTACCACTCACTCCGAAAGGATAGGGATACACTGTAACGTATAAAAAGGCGAACCACAAGATCAGTTCGAGGATTAAAATCCAGGCTTTATGATGTTTTCAGATATAGGGAGTGGCTCGAAATCTAAAAATGATCTGAATAGTAATAAACACCGAACACCTGTAACCGTGCCGAAAGAACAAGAATCGAGAGCAAATGAATCAATTGGTTTATGTCAGCTTGTGAAAAGGATATTGGATATTGGAAATGAGATATTACTCATGAAAATGCACCGAATGTTATTTTAGTGCGTTCATCCAACTGATTCAAATAAACAACATTAAATGAAAGCATTATATTGAAATATCTATACTTTCCCTTCATTATGAGAATGCGAGCACATATTTTAGGGAGAACAATTTCATTTTGTTTGTTTTGTCCAGTATACAATTATTACTTTCAGACGAGGGTCTTTAGAATTCGCAAAATGTACACCTATCTGATCCCTACACAATAAACTTGTGGTATTGACCCTCAGATTGTCTTAATCTTAAGATTGTGTCATTGTTTCATTATTAAGTGTAAGTGCACTTTACTGCCGAATAAGTCGTCTTCTCACTTTATCTCTTGTTATTTTCTCTTCTAGATTATCCCAAATACTGCTCTTCACACTTACCTAGTACACTAGGCACTCTTAGGCTAAACTTAAATATAAAAAAGGTTACTTGCTACAAAAGTCCAACTATGTAGGTCCCAATCCCAGTTACCGTTTCATGTGTTGTAAAGATTGTTTAAACAATCCTTGGGTTTGTGAAGTATTTTTCTTAGTACTTCATTCCAGTTTACTCTGGCCTAATTTTCCGGGTACGCTCCTGTGTATTTACAATTTACCGTCTTGCCCTCTTCTGATATATATGTGCTAATCTTCCCGATGTATTCTTTAACTGTCACTAGTCAGTCACCGTCTTAGTACATCCTTATAGTTATCCTAATAACGTTACCGTTTTCTCTGCTTTCTAACTAGCTTTCTTTAAACCTTTTTCTGTTTCACCCAATCCATAATGGTTGAAATTATTGTTAAAAGTCATGGATGTAACCATTCTGTATATGAAATGTATCCTATTCTATTATCGGCTACATATTTACGATTCTACAAGCCTGCTTTGCCATCATTATGTAGATTGTAGTATTTAAACAAGGTGATTCATCTAGATGAGAGCTTCGTGCTCATTCTTACGAAGTTGGTCACTCAGTGAATTTAATATTAGCAAATTAGGGAACTACAAGTATTGTGCTATCCAAATTGGATACTACAAACGAATCGGTTAGCTTTAAATGTCAAACGAAAAATCTTCAACTGATTTTCCATCCTTACCTAGTATTCTTTTCCTAACCACAGCAGTACTTACTCCATGGTCCAGGGATGTACTGGTAACACTTTAAAGATACCTATGACAGAATACTAGTAACCTACGATTATCCTCTTTTCTTAGTGGCAGTTTCACTCCGGTAAAGTAGAACGGAGCGAACTGCAGTGCAGTAGACTAGTCCCTTGGTTAGCAGATGGATATCTTGCCTACGACATCAGTAATGCAGGTTGGCAAAAGCCAATTGAGCCTTTTTGTATCCGTGCGAGACTTCTTCAGACACCAAGCTATCAAAACAAATGAGACTCCCTATCATTAGTGCAAGCGCCAACTCAAGCCGACAAATAACAAGCAACAGTTTGCATTTGGGGTGGGTGGAGAATCACATCTCGAATATACTCGCATTGTTGTGTAAGGTGTTCGGAAGATTCCGTATATCGTCACTGTCTTCACGGAACAGAACTATAACACCAGCATATTCTGAGCGAATCGAAGGATCTCCCGGTAAAGGTTCAACTCTTGAAAAGTCAGATGATCAAAGTGTCATATTAAAAAGCATGTCAATGTCAAAGTTTAAACAAGAATGGAGAAACTGGACAACCCTGAAGGATACCACTTGAAGTAAACGATTCCAATGACTGTTCGCCATAAGCTTTGAATAGACCAGTAGTGTTCAAGTATAAAGCATGCACACGGTTAACATACTTGTTTAGTGTACCTTTCAATGACAAACGCTGCCAAAGAACCTCAGGATCAACAGGCTTAAACACGGCTTTAAGGTCAAGAAGCACAACGATTGTTGGACGTCTAAATGTGTTTACGTTCTAGGACCCGTCAAAGTGTTAATATATGATCCATACAGCCACGTCCAGGTCAAAAAACCAGCCTGGTTTTCTCTAGTCTGCTCCTCACGAGCTCTAGTTAGGCGTCAAAGTATTTTTAGGGCTTATATTTTAGAAACTATATTAATTAGATTGATTCTTCTGTGATTGTTACGAGAGGACTTTCGTCCTTTTTTGTGGACTGGGACAATCATTGATTAAGACCAGTTCCCAAATTCTACCTAAGATCTCACTTAATCTAACTGCTAAGACTGGACTAACATCCTTTAAGATCTCGACAGTCAATCTATCAGGGCCCACTGCTTTCCCTCGTTTCAGATTTCCTATAACTTTTTCAACTTCATTAAGAGTCGAAGGACTTACATCAATTAGCCATTCAAATTGATTGTAGATCGTGAGTAACGTAAATGTAACTGGAAGCTAGTTGAACTGATGCCGATACTGCACAAAGGTGACTTGATTACCAACATGTATTAATGCATTCAACTTATGAACACAACGCGTACATTTTGTGTTTCCTTCACTTCATTACTACTTTAATATTAATCATTAATTTTAATCTCAATTTATAGGATAATTTGAATTTAATATCAAGTGAATTACTTTTCTTTTTTTCAGGTATTCATGCTTTAATCACTGAATTCGGAGGTTATCTTGACATCTCATGCCGTAATTGTATTAAATCAGATTGGGCACTGATTGATACTGAACTGAGGTTATTGATTTAGCTTACCCTATCTGTTGTACCAAAAAAGAAATAATGAACGTCAGAAGTAATATTCATATATCATTCTATCACGCATACATTCTTTCCAGAGTTGATAGAGCAACGAGCAAAAACTAAGGTAACTAAAGAAAAAGCAGAACTTACATTAACAATAGCAGCAATTTATTCTGAACAAGGTAATCTGTCGATTATGTAAACTACAATTATTATTATTATTATTCTTATTACCAAGGTTCACATGATTCTGCATTAGTTGAATATAAAAAATATCTTGAAATATGGGAATCAAAAGATGATAATCTTCAATGTGCCATTGCTAATCGATATATAGCAGAATGTTACATAGAAATGGGTGATTTCACTCAAGCTATTATTCATACTAATCGATATCTTCAACTTTCTACATTGGTTAACAATAAAATTGAACAACAAAGAGCTTTTGTCACACTGGGACGATGTTTTTTAAATCGTGTGGAAACTTTAAAAGATGGTGTATTAATTACTAAAAGTCTTAAATCAGCTAATCAAGCCTTATTGAATAGTATAAAATTAATTAAAGAATTATCTGGAAATTTAGATGATAAAAATTCTGCTGAAATGCGTGCTATATCATTACTTAATCTTGGTCATGTTCAACGTGCACAACATGTGTATAATGATGCATTTGAAAGTTTTTCACAATGTATTACATTAGCACGTAAATATAATTTACAAAAAATCCTATTTCGTGCATCCTATCAATTGGGTGAAATGTTAATCAATAATTTACTCGCACAAACATTCATCAACTCTAATTGTCCTATTGATCATTTCGAACAATTTCTTAATCAACCAGAAATCATTAAAGCTTTACAAATTGTTCAGTAAGTTGACAATCTGAATACTTTTTTTCTCTTCTAAATGTTACAATTTTTTAGAAGTACTTTATCTTCTCCACTATCAAAACCATGTGTAGATAATGAAGCGAAGCTGTTATGTATTAATTTAAAAGAATTATTTGCACAGGTTTGTTAAATATTTTCATACATTATCTAGTAGTTTATTATTTAGATTTATCTATGTCATGGTCATAGTCGTAAAGCAATAAAAATATTTCGTTTGTTGAAAGTTAACTGTCCTAATTCATCGGAACAATATTCTAAAATGATTAAAATTGGTAATGTTCAGTTTGATAATATTATTATTATTATTGTAGGTTATCGATTGATGAATTTACTGAATGACATTTCTAATACAGACGATTTGAATACAAAAAATCAGCTGACATTTGCTCGTATTCATGAAAAATTAGGTGATTTATATGCTGGTATTGATTTGCATGGTTGTGCTGTTCGACATTATCGATTGATGGTAAGTGACGCTGTTGTTGGTTTAAGTGGAGGATATTGTTGTTTATAAATTAGGTAGAAACATTAACTTATGAAGTGTTTTGGGGGGATTAATGCGTCTGAATATCTGTAAAGAAAGTGGCTTCCTGTTATTAAAACATGAAGGATAACTATAACTTATCATGGTCTCTCGTGCTGTTACGGGTATGAGGGTGGTTGTCACTTCCCGGCTGCCTACACCGTGGAAGGTTGTTTCTTGAGGGACCTGAAAAGGAAGATAGATTAGTGTTGGTCTTAGAGACCTGGGTGCGTGACCACACAGCCCAAGGGACAACTTTTTGAGGCCGGTCACGCACGGCCTTTTTATGAAAGGTTTTTTGAGGATTAGCTCCGCTCTTGAAAGCCCTTAGTGGGCACCCTTACCGACGGAGACGGAAATCCGTGAGGTGTAGGGTGAGGTGTGACATTTTTAGGGTCAACCTTTTCTAGCCCTTCCTTCCTTGTGAGAAGGCAGCATCGCTGCAGATGCTGGTTGTCCGAGGGAAACGCCTTACTGCTGTCACACCCCTCTGCAATCAGCAGTAAGACTTCGCCCTCAGACCTTGAGTAGCTGCTTTTAGTCTCATCGTTCTCCAATCGACCTGCCTGGCATGGTAGAACCTGCATGAACATATGTTCCAGCCGGTATAGCTCGGTTGGGTCATCACGATAGGCGATTGACAGCTGATAACTGGGTCTAATGTTAACAACAATCTATCAACAATCAAACAGGAACTACATTGACTACTAAGAATAGAGGATATTCTTAGCTTACTAATATTCGATCGTAGGTACCTTCGAAGCATTACTCGTATATCCTGCGACCATGAAGTAAACAATGTTGGTGTTATGAAAAGAGTACTAGGTAAGGATAGTAAACTAACTGATGAAGTAGTGAATCTTCATTAATTGAGTTGGTTTGGACTTGTGTTATTTAGGTTCATTCTCTGACTACTTCAATGAGCGATGTTGTCATATGTAGGGGTAGCCTAGAATAAAGATAGTGGCGGTCAAACCAAAACGTGACACAAATCTGTGGATTCACTTTCATCTGGGCTGTTCCATGTTAGTAGGTGTAGACCACCTGATTTGGGTCCGCATGACAATCTTAACCGGCGATTAAAGACTTTGAATGAAATGGCTTAAAATCGTCTGCTATGGCGTAGATGCTAATACTTTTACTACCTCTACTACTATGGGATTTAATCTCTATGTGCTAATATGGTATGGCAACTTGAACCAATGTACGTAAGAGCTTATCAAATTCTACTTTGTAGTTGAACGACTAAAACAGGAACTAAACGTAAACAAAAATGGAACTTATTGCGTTCAAAAAAGATTCAAGTAACGCATGAAAAAGGAATCATAGTTACACTATTTGCTTCGAAATTTATAAAGATAAAACTGTTTACTGAATTTACATAAGTAGTATAAATCAGATATGCCTAAAACAAGTAAAATAGGAAGAGGACAGGGAACGTAATGGGACTTGACAGTTTTGTTTGTTTTCCTTACAATCCTAGGAAGTATGAGATTGATATAATTGTACAACAACTCAAACCATTTCTAGATCAGTTGTAATGTTTTGTACCCTTTGAAAAAAACTGGTGTAAACGGATACAACATCTTGAAACTACCGAGTGAACTACGAGTATTTGGATTCACTAGTGTCAGTTTGGTAGATAGTACTTTTGTATTTTGAAGCTGAAAGTTTTTAGTTGATCTTAGTCTCATATTAACTATGTGGAGTCGAATATGCGCCTAAAATGTATGTTTATAACCGGATTAGTTCTACTTTCCTTTGGTTTAAACCATTCAAAGCCTGCTCTAACTGACAATGGGTGGACGCGGTAAAGGTGGAAAGTCTCGAGCCAAGGCGAAAACCAGGTCAGCCCGTGCTGGTCTCCAGTTCCCGGTTGGTCGTGTTCATCGTCTGCTTCTCAAGGGTAATTGCGCTGAACGCGTCGGTGCTGATGCCCCTGTTTACCTGGCAGCTGAAGTTGTCGAGTTGGCTGGCAACGCTGCTCGTGATAACAAGAAAACCCGTATCATCCCACGCCACCTTCAATTGGCCATCCGAAACGACGAAGGGTTGAACAAGCTCCTCGGTGGCGTTACCATTGTTCTGTTTGAACAATGAAGTGATATCTCAGTCACCCATTCATGAAATGTAACATTATGGATTTATTTGTTGCATTCATTCATTAAAATTCATCGGATCCCAAATGTCCTGGTTCGGTCGAGAGTAGAGAGTGTCCATCCTCTATCTCAAAATGCTTTCGTGATCATGTGTATATAACCGCGGACAGGGAAGTTCTACTGACTACCTTCCCGTGCAACAGGTGTTACTTATGAAATAGAAAGGACATAAAAAGAATGTCTGGTCTGGGCTTAGACTGGGTTATAGTTGCGTATAGAGGAGGATCTACCTAGGACAGTTGACGTTCACGAGCTACTCAATCCTCAAGAAACAAATCATTTATCAACCTATTTGTTGGTCATCAGGCACCATAAGACTACATCTCTCCTGACACGTTTGTCCACTGCCGGCTTATGGTCCAAAGTCTTATGGAGTAGCATCCTCCTACATAACAATTATCTTCTTCGGTTTTGGATCATCTATAAAGTATACATATATAAGTAGTATATCCTTCGCTACTTCCTTATTTTATTCACAATACTTTTCTTTGTTTTTTTTTATAGTTAGAATTCTCTGAACTTGCTTATAAACAACATCAATCTACAGAGTCAACTACTACTACTACTACTACTACACAAAATGAATTGATTAAACTTATTGATGCAGCTTTAATATCAATTGCTGAAACTTATCGTACACTTGGTTATTATACACAATGTGTGGAAATGTATAAACGTGAAATTTTATGGTCTACATCAATTGGTTTATCTATGAATGATATTATTACAAGTTGGTTAAGTTTAGCACAAGCACAACGTTTAATTTCAACGAATCAGCCACCTTCTATCATTGATAATACTAAATCTATTGAAAGTAATCAAAAAACTCATTTAAATGATTCAACAACTGCATTAGATTCATTGTTATCAGCTTATAAAGCTTCTAAGTCAATTGGATCTATGTCATTAATTGTAAGTGAATTTCTTTTTATGAGAAAACTATTATCATTGTTTGTATAATACATGTGTGTGTGTGTAAACCCGAGGACAGTGGATGAGATTGGGCTAGATGGTGGATAGATGGAAGTTGTGAGGTTCTCTGGCAGTGTCTGTCATTGAAAGGTGTACCAAAGAAGTACATTAACCTTATACAAGCTCTCTACTCGAACACCATTGGTCGAGTGAGAGCTTATGGCGAACTGTCATGGGGATTCTTTACTTCAAATGGTGTCCGTCAGGGATGTCCACTTTCTCCATTCTTGTTTAATTTTATCATAGACATGCTCCTAGATATATAACCTTATCCTCGTCTGAATTTTCAGGAATAGACCTTTTACCTGCTGGCTCGCTTATTGACTTAGAATATGCCGATGACATTGTCCTACTTGGTGAAGACGCTGACAAAATTCAGAGTCTTCTTACTACCCTAAGCAACAATGCAAGCATGTTCGGGATGCGGTTTTTCCCCTCGAAATGCAAAATGTTGCTTCAAGATTGGGTTTCATCGGCACCTGAACTAGTGATAGGGAGTGAAATAGTCAAACGTGTTGATCGCTTCACTTATCTAGGGAGTCTCATCAGTGCTGATGGCCTGGTGACTGACGAAATCTCAGCACGGATACAGAAGGCTCGATACACTTTTGCCAAGTTGCGTCACTTATGGCGTAGGCCTGATATCCGTTTGCTGACTAAAGGACGAGTGTACTGCTCAGTAGTTCGCTCCGTCTTACTTTATGGCTGTGTAACATGGCCAGTGAGAGTAGAAGATATTCGTAGGTTACTGGTTTTCGATCATAGGTGTTTTCGAAGCATTGCTCATATATCGTGGGACACCCGAGTGAGCAACGCTGTTATTAGGAATCGGGTGCTAGGTGAGAATGGCAAATCAATAGATGAAGTAATGAAACTTAATCAGTTGAGGTGGTTGGGACATGTGTTACGAATGCCTAACCACCGACTGCCTCGACGAGCTTTGTTTTGTGGTGTAGTAGTAGGTTGGAAGAAAGTTAGGGGCGGCCAAACCAAAACATGGCAGAAATGCATGAGTTCACTGACAAGTGGACTGAGTCATGTTGGTAAATGTGGGCTACGTGGTTGGGGTCCACGAGATGATAATAATCGATGGTTAGAAATCCTGAATGACATGGCTCAAAATCGTGTGCGATGGCGTAGGTGTATTCATTCTTTGTGTTCTCTCAAATCCTAATCTTCTGGATTCTTCAACCCCTCTACTTTTGACTTTCTAAACTTTTCTCATTAAATCATACTTCTTGAATAATATCTTCTAATCCTAACCTTTCGGATTACTTCTAATACCTTTACTACCTCTTCTACTATAGGATTTGAATTAACAATTATATCTCTGTGCTGATGTGGTATGGCGACATGAACTGATGTACTTACGTACTAAGTTCTACGTTGCATCTGACTGACTGATAGATGGAAGTTAGACATTATACACTATTGGGTGCCAGCTTAGTGGTACAAAGGTTAAGCGTTCATGCGAGAAACTGAAGGTGCTGGATGCGTTCTGCTGATGAGTCCCATATACAGGGACGAAACGGTCGTCTAGTATCTCTAGGTTTCTAATGATTGTCTAACATTGATTTCAAAGTAACTTTTGTGATTGAGGTGACTAGAACTTGAGTAATGTGTGCCTACCATAACAGTTGTTTTTGGTGTAGAGATAGATTGGTAGAAAGATATAGACTGCGAAACTAAAATGCGCTGACAGTCTATGAAGTTAAATAACTGTTGATCTTAGCCACATTAGTAATAACTACAATCGGAGTTTAACGGTGTTGAAGGATCTTACCTAGAACTTGGCACAATGATGCAAATACATTCATATAAATATCTCACTGGATCTTGGGTTCCTCACTTACGCTTGTTACCCCCCGAGGAGCATAGGCCGCCAATCAGTAGTCTGCAATGAACTTTAACTTTGGCTCTCCTTTTCAATTGCTCTCAAGTGTTATTGATGCTTTTGATGCCTGTTTTCAATTTTCGGCGCAATGAGCTTCACAGTCTTCCTCTCTTCCTTTGACATTGAGGAGTTTACTTTGTGACGCGATTTGGAGCCTTCCGTAATGTGTCCTATCCACCTTCTAATTTATTCTTCAGTCAAAAGTTGGTTCATTCTTTGCCACAGTGGTTGATGGTGTTTGACCAGTGAATTTGCAGTATCCTGTGTGGGCAACTGTCTATAGACACTTGTAACTTTCTGATGATGGTTGTAGTTCTCAAAGTTTCTGTTCCAAACCATTAAGCTGTTTTTGACGCTGGTATTGAAAACTTCTGGCCTCAGTGTCAATTCACAGTTCTTTTTGAGTTTAAGCTGTTCGTGCAATTGTAGAAACACTGCTCTTGCCTTATTACCATATCTGCATTCGATCCCCCCTTGTTTATCATTGATGTGTTACCCAGTTAATGTAAAAGTTTTCCACATATTTTCTAGAGCTTCTTTATCAGATTTCTAAGTTTCAATACTCCTTTAAACGTGTATATATATCTTTCCAGTCTATTTCATCATAATAAATAGTATTCTATATCAAATTCGGTCAAATATCACTGACTGCCTGAACGAGCGTTGTAGGAGTAGGTTGGAAGAAAATTAGGGGCGGCTAGACCAAAACATGGCAGAAATCCATGAAGTCACTGACGAGTGGACTGAATCATGTTGGTAGATGTAGGCTATCTGGTTGGGGTCCACGAGACGATAGTAAGCGATGGTTAAATGACCTTGAACAACATGGTTCAAAATCGTTTGCAATGGTTCATGTGCATCCACTCTTTGTGTTCTCTCAAATTCTAAGCTTCTGAATTCCTCATAATCTCTACCTTTCTCTTCCTGAATTTATTTCACTGAATCAATCAATCAATCAATAGCAACATAGAACTTCGTACGTACGTACATCAGTTCATGTTACCATATCACATCAGCACAGAGATGTAATTGTCAATTCAAATCCAATAGTAGCAGAGGTAGTAAAGGTATTAGCAGTAGTCGGAGAGGTTAGAATTAAAAGATATTATTCAAGAAGTAGAATCTAGTGAAATAAACTTAAGAAGATAAAGATACAGTGACGAAGAATTGAAAAGTTTGGGATTTGAGAGAACACAAAGAATGAATGCACCTGTGCCATTGCAAACGATTTTGAGGCATGTCATTCAGGGTCTCTAACCATCGATTACTAACATCTCGCGGACCCCAACCAGGTAGTCGACAATTACCGACATGACTCAGTCCACTTATCAGCGTCTTGACATATTTGTGCCATGTTTTGGTCTGGCCGCCCCAGCTTTCGTTCAACCTATTCCTACACCGAAAAATATAGCTCGACGAGGCAGTCGGTGGTTAAGGCATACGTAACACATGTCCCAACCACCTCAACTGATGAAGTTTCATTACTTCATCTATTGGTCTGCCGTCCGTACCTAATACTCGTTTCCTAACGACAGCATTGCTTACTCGGTTGTCGCAGGATACACGAGCAATGCTTCGAAGACACTTCACTGAATTATACTTCTCAAATAATATCTTCGGACCCTAATCTCCTCCATTACTACTGATACTTCTACTATCTCTACCACTGAGTGACATTTGTGTCTCTGTTTGCTAATGTAGTATGGCAACTAGAACTGATGTACTTACATACGAAGTTCTACGTTGTAAATGACTGACTGACTAACTGACTAACTTGTGTCTAATATCGCCATTCCTCTCACGTTATACATCGATAATAACCCTATGACTGTACACATCTATCAAATAATATTTTGTATCATTTCATTGTTCAATATTTGTTTTTTCTTCTTATAGTCTGATTGTTTAAAAGAATTAATTGACTATTATGAACAATATAATTATAAAGATGAATTAGACAAAGCACGCAAAGAATTAAAAAAAATCATTGAACAAACACCAAATAATGATGGTGATCAAGGAGAGAATAACAACACGAAAATTACCGCTGCTGCTGATGATGATGATGGTGAGGAGGAGGAGGAGGCGGAGGCAGGAGACAGTGATGATGATGATGCAAATGATGCATTACAATTTCTAGAGACACTTTCTTCTGATTCCGGTAAGTGGAGTAGTATTTGTGTGTTATGTTGAAAATTAATTTGTTTCATGTTTTGAACTACACTAAGCGACGTTAGACAAATTCAAATGGTGGATTTTTGGAGGATTTTGCTTGTCATTTGAAGCTATATTGTTGATTGTATGTTGTATTGGTAGTTAATTTCAAAGATGATCTGATCGTGATAGACAGACAGACAGATACAACGTAGAACTTCGTACATAAGTACATCAGTTCACATTGTCATATCACGTCAGCACAGAGACGTAACTGTCAGTTCAAATCCAAGAGTGATAGCGATAGTAGAATTATTAGCAGCAATGGAGAAGATTAGGAGGCGAAGATATGATTCGAAAAGTATAATTCAGTGAAATAAATTTAGAAGGAGAAAGATAGAGATTATGAGGAATGCAGAAGGTTAGAATTAGAGAAAACACAAAGAGTGGATGCACCTGAGCCATTGCAAACGATTCTGAGCCATGTTGTTCAAGGTCTCTAACCATCGGTGACTTTCGTCTCGCTGACCGCAACCAGGTAGCCTACATCTACCAACATGACTCATTCCGCTTGTCAGTAACTTCATGATCTGATCATGAAGTACTTGAAGAACATTGAAATGTTGTAGTATAGTGTCGTAAGTCATTGTGGACCAGGAATAACGTTTTGTGAACTTGAATCGTTTGCGTTAGTGATGATAAAGGATGATAAAGGAATATGGGAAGAGTGAGTCGTGGCAATAAGAGAGATGTTAGGATGTGTAGGAAGGACTTGATTGTGAGCCATTTTGGTCTCGTGTACTGTTACGGGTATGAGGGTGGATGTCACCTATCGGCTGCCCACTCTGTGGAAGGTGGACAGCAAATGTCTGTACATATGTGTCGAACGCACGTGGTTTGTCCTAGCGTCTGTAAAGTTTCATTAATCCCATTCGTCTCGAGTTATTCACATACTTTTCGACCCTGTCTATTATTCGCTCATAACTTTGACTGTTTTTATTTGTGTGTGTACATGCTCACTTTGCTTACTACATGTCTCGCCGCCTCTATTTACTTGATTATGATTACCTATTCATACCTCATCTCATTCAGTTGGCTCACTCGCTTTTTCCACTTCGCTGAACTTTGTACGCTTTGTATTCTTATATCTGTTTGCATGAACGGATTGCATGACATCAGCTCATCCAACTGAATATCCATATTTGGCTTCATAATCACTGCCGTCACACAAACTGAGTTCGCCTAAGTATAATATACGGAAACTTAAAGGGAAGCTTTATTTCATCGTCCAAGTTGGAGTCAGATCACCACTAAGGACACTTTTTACTTGATCAAAGCTTAAACTACATTTGATCATCATGTTTGTAGTTGAATGGACATTAAGAGTTCAAGTAACAAATATTGTTGCACTAGTAGGTGTAATACGATCAATGTTGAATGTATATGTTTACGATTTAACAGAAATCCAACTCCAATAGCTTTGAAAACAGACCAACAATTCACACATAGACGAATTCTTATGCTGTTTTTTTACTCTGAATTTATTTCCAATGCACTCGTATTTCACTTACAGCCTCTGCATTCTGATTGACAAGTAATCAGATAAAAAATTTGCTGGATGATATGATGAACCAATCAGAAGTGGCTAACTGAGGTCATTTTATGACCATCAGAAATGCCCTTAAGGATGAATGCATATGATTGGTCAGATAATGGATTTATTTTCTAAAGTAGAGCTGTGTATATTCATACATATAATTCAGTAGCCAAGTAGACTTTCTCTTCAACTTTTGCTTTCTCACTCAAGTAGTCAGTTTAACAAACAAAGCATGAAATACATTATCATGACAAGAAAATTCACCGGTAATTCGATACGGATCTGTCTGAGCGTTGAGATCCGTAAATTTATGATACAACGAAGTATCGATTAACTGCAACCTACGCGAATCGGCTAGCAATTCATAGTGCTGCAGGAAATTAATACTGAGTATAGCTGTGTGGACATACGCAAGGATTAACATCCACAGATACCGTTGCCGGTTGCTTAAGTTGATCGTTAGCTGCCGTGTGCTGTAGGTAGAGATTTCAGATCGATTCACCTGGCGCAGTCGAAGCGTTGAAACTTGGGACTTGCTGCTATCAGGTGGTGTGACAGTAACTTGGGCACCTGTGTCAACCAGGTACAGGTACCTAGTGTTAGTGCGGTGATCGTCCACATAAAACAAGCGAGCAATCTGAGGTGAAGTGTAGATAAGTGTAGCCTCATTTACTCACCGGCATTTGGGTCTCCCGCCTTGTATCAGCATGGAGCTCGACAAAGATGGGTACCAGTTCCGGTGACGAGATGGATCCAACAAAACTTAGTATGAGATTCCGTAGCGGAAGATGCTTACTTTGGGTAATCTGGTGTTACAGCCTGACGTGGTTGAGATAGGGCTCGAGGGAAACGGAGTGCCAGGGCGTCGATATAGCCTCGAAATGCGAGACTACTGTGGATGCAGCCATCTCTATCCCTGTGAGCTGGGCTACGACTGGCTTCGAGATCCACGTTTTGATTCGACGTTAAGGCAACTAGATAGATATCCCCTACTCTGGTCCTTAGGATGATTTTTTCGGCTATGAGATCGACCATAGTAAGAGATGTGTCCTTGAGAAATGCTGTGATTGTGGGTTAGAGCTGCAACGACAGTTCTTCTAGCCTAATTTCTTCAACTATGTCAGTGGTAGCTGTCGTGTTTCGCGTCAGTGACTGGAGGCGCTTAAGCTGGTGACTTGGCTTAGCATCACCTAGGGGGTTTATTCACCGCGTAGAAATCAGTCGGCTTGTACACTAGCTCATGAAAAAGACATTGGATATTGTGTAACTTCAGTCTTTGGTGAGTTTGTGTTTAGCTGGAAGGTACCTTGCTAGCTAGGGCATTGTGAGGTAATCTAGGGGGGGGGGAAGAATAGTAAAGACGAGCCGACGACTCAGTAAGCTCATACAATGAATTTACATTTGATAAAAAAGCAATCAACATCAACCAGAAATATTACAAGTGTGAGATCAAGACAAACTGGTTATTGGGAGTCGAAGTTGGTAGATTAAGGTCTCAAATACGTTACAATTGGATATATCATAATCGGCGCTCTTTGAGCTAGCCAATGAAAATTTGGCACCTGAATTTTTGTCAAATCTATACAATTTCATTCAATTTCTTGAATAAAACACTATGTATTCCATACTTCACTCTTGTTTTTGTTTAGAACTTGAACAATGTATAGGAAAAGCTGAACTTATGGATGAATTCCATGATACTATGAAGGGTAAAAAATCGGGCAAAGCTCTTTGTTTAAAAGTAAGACATTATCATGACGCTTTATTTTTTTAGGTAGAGTAACAGTGTTTAAAAAAACAAATCATACTCGACATTTGAACTAGGCATAAAGTTTATTGATTTCAACGTTATTTTATATACCATTTTTTGATGTAATCAGGCTCCTAAAAATGGTGTGCTGTACACTAAATGTTACGCCTGCATGTAAACACGTCAACTTGATATACTTGAACTATCACGAGTCTACCTTAGTAGGAAAACGAGAGTGAGGATCGATGATCCTGCAACATGACAGGCTACACTAATCCGATTATCCCAACCCCCATATTGAGTAAAAATAAGAAGACTTGAATGTAAAGTAGAACCTGTATTCTACAAGTATCCAGAAAGTACGAGGTTCGAATCCAAAAGAGAATTAGGATCCCGAACTAGGGATCCGGGACCGGGTCCTGGTTGTGGTCATAAAACGTTACAGATAATGCTTATTTATACATTTTGGTCGAATAGGAAACAGTATCGAATTCTGTGACATTGACAGTTAAGTCGACCAATAGGAAGCAACATTTGAGGTGACGTTGATAGTCAGGACAAGAAAATAAGAAACAAGATTGGAGCACGTGACATTGATATCTACTAGGACGACCATAAATTGACCAATAGGAATTAACCAATAGGAATAGACCAGTAATCCTCTTAGGATATTGGATGAATATCCTAACACTAAATAAGATGAAAACGTTGTAAAGAAGTAATGCAGCGAAAGGTAGTATAGTGGAACGAATAATATTCGTTGAAAATGTCATTTAGAGAAACTTATTTCAGTTTAGCATATTCCTCTTTAGCTTTAAGAATAATGCGGAAGACTGGCTTCTTCTATTCTATGACATGTTTGGTCATGTCTCAACCTGTTAAGTTATACCATCTCCAGGATCCTCAATCAGCTAGTTTTGATATGTCGATATACGTCAGTTCCATATAGTTTTCTTTCATCTATAAAAAGGAGCCATATCGTAAGATGACTACCTCCAATTTCTCCTCCCGGTCCCACTGTTGACCGAATAAGCAACAATGTTTTTGTTAGGAAACGTGTACTAGGTAAGAATGGCATATCAATTGATGAAGAGGTGAATCATCCTCAGTTGAGTTGGTTGGGACACGTGTTACGTATGCCCAACCACGTACTGCGTCGGTGAGCGATGTTTTGTGGTGTAGTAGTAGGTTGGAAGAAAGCTAGGGGCGGCCAAACTAAAACATGGCAGAAATCCATGAAGTCACTGACTAGTGGACTGAGTCATGTTGGTAGATGTAGGCTATCTGGTTGGGGTCCGCGAGACGAAAGTCACCAATGGTTAGAGACCCTGAATGACATGGCTCAAAATCGTTTGCAATGGTGTAGATGCATCCACTCTTTGTGTTCTTTCAAATCCTAGTCTTCTGGATTCATCAACACCTCTACCTTTGTTTTCGTAAACTAATCTCACTGAATTATACTTTTTGAATAATATCTTCAAATCCTAATCTTCTCAATTACCAGTAATACTTCTACTATCTGTACCACTATGGGATTCGAATTCACAATTGCGTCTCTGTGGCGGCCTGAACTCTAGTACTTACATATGAAGTTCTACGTTGTAATCGACTGACTGACCAGTGCTTCCAGATTCCTAATGGTAGTCTAACAATGATTGATTCATGATTTCAGTAATAGAGAAAATAAGTATTAGGGAACTTCTTTACTCAGGAACTGTAAGAAGATAACGACTAAACGCTATTGTTAACGATTCTGATCAATGTGATTAAAAGTTTCTAACGTATGTTTACGGTAGTCTGATGGACATCGACAAGGCGATCTATGATTACCTACATCGTTCTGTTTAACAAGTCAGTGACTTCATGAAATATGGCTTGACTGCTCTTAACTTTCTTCCTACACCAAACAACATCGTTCAATGAAGTAGCCTACGGTCTTTACATATTTATTGCATATCCCAACTACTTCATTAATGATGAAATTATAAAAACAAATAGAGAAAATGGACAACTTTAATGAATACTACTTAAGAACTTGGTTGACTGGGAATTTCTACTCACTGCCATGTTAGTAAAGTTGAGAGGATGAGAGGCACATGTCTGGTACATAAATTGGGTTGGTGGGTACGGAAGATCCACCTAACACAGTTGTAAGACGCTAATTACAAACTAATGATGAACATAGGCTACAGGATTCTGAGTAAATAAATGGTGTATGAACGTATTGTTGATCACCGATTACCATGGGACGACTGCATCTCGATTCGTTGCTCCACTATCTTATAGATCGAAGGCTTGTACAGTGGCCATCTAAGAAAAGCGCTCCATACGGTCTAGGCACTCGAATTGTATCCCGTGTAATTCACACCTAAATTCAGTAATTTCTGTAGTCAATAAATATACAGCTGCTCTGTTATAGCAGTGTTTATATGGTTAGATCTGTATAAAGAAATAATAGTGTACCTAACTGACAGACTGACTGACTGACTTACTGACTATTTATTACTCACAGTAATCAATCCTAAAACGTTTCATTTCTTTTATTAAGTCTATTTTTTCAGTTAGAGTTATAGAGATCATTGTTTTTACACATGGAAATCATGAACCAGTCATTGTTTGACCACTTCATCAGAAACCTGGAAGCACTACTGGACGGCTGTTTCGTCCAGGTATAGGACTCATCAGTGGCAGTGCGAATCTACGACTCCTGCTTCTTGCAGGTAGTACGGAGGTTAGGCGTTCTCACGCTAGCCCGAAGGTCCTAGGTTCGAATCCTGCGAGTAGCTGGAGTCGTGGATGGGCACTACCACTGATGAGTCCCCTATACAAGGACGAAATAGTCGTCCAGTAGTGCTTCCATGTTTCTCTAATAGAGTGGTCAAACAATGATTGATTCATGTATGAAGTCTATATGTCGGTGTATTGCTTTTTTTTTCTGAATCGTTTCCTCTGTTTTATTTGCTTTTTAGACTAATATGAAAGGGGAGACACCATTACATGTAGCTACAATCAATGGTGATATGAATCATGTTGTGAAACTGATTGAAGTCTTGGTTAGTAGTTGGTTTTTTGTTTTCTGTTTTTTGATGTATTTTTAAATTATTTCCAATCTTGTTGTCTGTTTGTCAGATGCATTCTCATATATATATATATTACGTAATATATCTATCTACATGTAAAACTTGTTAGATTAAAAAAGGGTAAACAAAAGTAAGAGTTCAGAGTTTATTCAATGGTGAATGATATTGAAAAGACTGAGGCAGGCGCTGAAGATTGTATTATGCAAATTTACACTCTTAGTCAATTAAAAACGACAACATTACATAGAACACTCTATTTGCACACCATCTTTGATTCGTGACTTCCAACACTCCATCCTTCTTCTTCCATTCCTGTTGTTGCTTCCTTTCCTTCCTGTTGGTACTCTATTTACTTCTTGCTTTTGCTTCATTTGCTTTCCGTTTTCCTCTTCTGACCGTGAGACTTCTTCTTTCACGTCCCTTCTTATACTACTTATATCGTTCGTATAAGTAGCACACACAATATGATAACTGTCAATACGTTGAATGTGTTAGACTGACGATCAGAAGTAATCTTCAGTCAACTCTGTCTTGGACTCTCCCTTTTTAAGTTGTTTCTTAATGCTGTATGTTCTTTGGTGTGTTTCTTTTCTTGAGGATTCCATGTTAGTGCATACGTTGTGATAGAGTTTGTATGATTTCTTATGAATAATGACGTAATTATGTATAAATTATACTAATCTATTTATGAATGGATTAGGGTTATGTAATTGATTCACGGTGTCGTTTAAGTTTTAACTCATAATGAATACAATGTCATCCATCATCATCATTAACAGCAGCGTAAAACTTTGTACCACATTAACACAGAGATGTAATTGTAAATTCAAATCTCATAGTAGTAGAGATAGTAGAAGTATTACTGGTAATGGAGAAGATTAGGGTTCGAAGACCATGATTCAAGAAGTATAATCTAGTGAAATCAACTTAAAAAGAGAAATATAGAATTGATGAAGAATTCAGAAGATTAAGATTTAACAGAACACAAAGAGTGGATTCACCTGCACCATAGTAAACGACTTTACTTAGTTACTTACGCCTGTTACCCCATAACGGACCATAGGCCTCCGACTAGGAAGTGATTTTTATGGTTAGAGTTTTTTTAGAGATTTGAATTTCTACGGGATGTGGTCGCTCAGTCAGTTAGTCATCCAGTTGCAACGTAGAAATTCGTTCGTACGTACATCAGTTCAGGTTGTCCTACTACATTAACAAAGAGACGCAACTGTCAATTCAAATCCCATAGTGGTACAGATAGTAGAAATATTAGCGCTAATGGAGAAGATTAGAGTTCGAAGGTATTATTCAAGAAACATAATTCAATGAAATAAATTTAGAAAGAGAAAGATAGAGATGATGAAGAATTCATAAGATCAGGATTTGAGAGAACACAAAGAGAGTGGATACACCTGCGCCATTGCAAACGATTTTAAGCCATGTTATTCAAGGTCTCTAACCATCGATGAATTTCGTCTGGCTGACCTCAACCAGGTAACCTAAATCTACCAACATGACTCAGTCCACTTGTCAATGACTTCAAGCATTTGTGCCATGTTTTGGTATGGCCACCCCAAAGAATACAATGTAGATGGATTTCAATCAATCTTATGTAAACTCCAAAGGACTAAATAACAAAAGACGAAACTCTGTATATCATCTACAAAATAAATTGCTCAGATTGTGAAAGAAAACACTATTACATAGGACAAAGTTGACGAGTTCTCTTTAGCTTCGTTTACGTGAACATCAATTCCCAGTCAAACAGCATGACATTTCTTCCCTTATATCGTCAATACATACGGACAACTATGGAAGTACATTCGATTGGGAAAAATGTTGAAATACTGGATAGAGAGAGGACAGAAAACACTAGAAAATTTTTAGAAGCTTGCCACTCACAAGTCAATCAGTAATCAACAACCACATTGACATTGACTCAATTTATCAACCCATAAAAAATAATCATAGGCAAACATACTATCAAGAAACAGATTTAAATGTGGATACAATCAAAATAAAGGTGCACACAATGACAGGTTGGAGGTCAATCATAACCAATCAAGATCGAGGTCAGCAGAGCAAGTTGCAAGTTATACGTGAAGAAATTCAATTATTTCACTTCTCTACCTGAAGTTCGTGTTGATGATGATGTTGTTCAGAAGAAAGGCAATGAAAACTCCATAACCGAAACATCCAGTTAGCTCAGAGAACGAAACTCCATCAAAATCATTCACTTGAGCTACACATTTTTTCCACCAACTGAATGTTTGATATATGATTTGAGTACGCTATGGACAGAAAAAAGGTTGTATGTGTTATATTATATTGGCATGAGAGGTCACCTAAATATTTATGCATAACAAAAATTACTGAATGTGATCGACGAAACAATGGTGCAACGTCACCAGATGCAGTCCCATGACAACCGGTGATGAACATTAGGTCTATACACCATTTGTTTCCTCAGGATCCTGTAGCCTATGTTCATCATTAGTTTGCAATCAGAATTGCCCAACTGTATGTTAGATGGATCCTCCGTACCCACCAACCTAATTTATCTGTCGGATGTGTGCTTTTCATCCTCCCAAATTCATCAATGTGGTCTGCACCACAAGATGAAAGAAAGTTAGTGGCGGCCAGACCAAAAACATGGCAGCAATCCATGAAGTCATTGACAAGTGGACTGAGTCATGTCGGTAGTTGTCGACTACCTGGTTGGGGTCCGCGAGATAATGATAATCGATGATTAGAGACTCTGAACGTCATGACTCGTAACCGTTTGGAATGGCGCCGGTGCATTTATTCTTTGTGTTCTCTCAAATCCTAATCTTGTGAATTCTTCAACACCTCTAGTTTTGTCTTTCTAAACTTTTCTCACTGAATCATACTTCTTGAATAATATATTCTAATCGTAACCTCTCCGATTACTTCTAATACCTTTACTATCTCTACTTCTGTTGGATTTGAATTGAGAATTACATCTGTGTGCTGATGTGGTATGGCGACATGAACTGATGTACTTACGTACAAAGTTCTCCGTTGCATCTGACTGACTGACTGACACAAGATGGCAGTGAGTATATGACTTTCATGTTAGCGGCTATATATACCTCGTGGCCCTACTGTCGGTGTCGTATCAGCCAACACAATATCCTTCTATCTCAAATACATTGTTGTATCATTTTTTTCTCTCTTCAACTATACACTTTAGGGTCATCCAGTTAATGTACGTGATGGTGCTGGTTGGTTACCAATACACGAGGCAGCATTTCATGATCGTACTGATATCGCTATTTATTTACTTGATCATGGTGCTCAATTAGATGACACTGGTTGTCCAGATGATTGTTCAACACCATTATTTGAAGCAATTCATAATGGTGCATTGGCTAGTGCATTGATTTTTGTTAATAGAGGTGCTAATCTATGGCATAAGTAAGTAGGATTTTTTGGTTTTTTTGTTCTAATGTAAGTGATTTTTCATTTGTTTATGTATTGTTTTTGTTAGGATATTCTTCATCAAATATCCTATGAAGAATTATTTTATAAGTGTAAATTCTATTGGTCTAATCCTATTGGTCAATATTACGCTCGTCCTAGCTATCAGGGGCGGCCAATCCAAAACATGGCAGAAATCCATGAAGTCACTGACAAGTGGACGGAGTGAGGTTGGTAGTTGTCGACTATCTAGTTGGGGTCCGCGAGACGAAAGGTACTAATGGTTAGAGACCTTGAGCACGACATGGCTCAAAGTCGTTTGCAATGTCTGTCTAAATTTTTCTCATTGAATCATACTTCTTGAATAATATCTTCAAATCCTAACCTTTCCGATTACTTCTCATACTTTTAGTACCTCTACCACTATGCGATATGAATCGACGATTGCGTCTCTGTGCTGATGTGGTACGGCAACCTGAACTGATGTACTTACGTACGAAGTTCTGCGTTGTATCTGTCTCTCTGTCGTCCTAGCTAGCAATGACACGTACTTCAAATGTTGTTTCCCATTGGTTTCTTATTGGTCGTCTTGACTGTCAATGTCACTTCCTATCGGTCGCCTTCACTGTCAGTGTCACAGCCTTTGATGCTGTTTCCTATTCGACCTAAATGTTTTGATTGTATCTTTATTTTCTGTATATATGTGTATGATGAGCAAGCATATATTCTTTACTTATTCACTTAATTACGCTTGTTACTCCCAAATGATAGAGCATAGCCCTCCGATCAACATTCTTCAACCTACCTATCCTGAACCTTCCTTTCTAGTTGTTGGGGACGTTAGATCCCCAGAACTCGCTTGATAAATGTCTTAATTTTGGATTTTATTCATAGGCTGATCAATTGACCTTGAGATCACATTTCCCAACAGGAAAATCCTTGGCTGTGATTGGTTGATATGTTATTTTAGTATGCTATTTTTGTGACTCTCCTAAGGATGTTTCTATGGTGTATAAATAAACGCGATTTGTGTACTTGAGAACATTGTATTGTAGAATACACTTTCTACGCCCTATCAAGCCTTTTCCCTCAGTAGGTTAGTTGGGGCAACGGATCAGAGTTGCCTATCGAGTCACTGGTTTATTGTCTTGTTCTTGTTTATCGACTAAGGTGAATTGGTAATAGTTTCAAGCATTCAAGTGATGAGCTTAACACTAGTTCTATCCGATTGTTGCTCATTCTTCTCATTGCTCGGCGTCATGTGCCTTTTGGTCTTCTTCTCTTCCTTTGGCTTTGAGTTTTTCTAATTGAGGGCTTGTGTTGTGACACCGCAGTTGAATGTTTTACAAATATATTTTATACACCGTTACAATATTTTTGTTTTTTTTTCTCATTTTAGAAATAAACAAGGTGAGCATTTATCAAATTTATTAGATCAATGGGAACCAACACGTCATGCTTGTGGAACATTTGCTGAACAACGCACTAAATTCAATAAATTATTGGCTGCCATCAAAAGTCGTCTAGGCGGTATGTCCTCTACATATATTCATCCTTTGTCAGGTTCTGAAATAAATGCATGCCTTCTAATGTTCGACTATAGTTGTATTGTATTCCTTGATCTTAGTACAGTGCTCGACTCTATTGATCAAGATGTTTTATGGTAGTAGTATCTGTCACTATAGAGTGGTACCAAAAAAAATAGTACAGGCTTCTTAGTTGAACACCAGTATTAAGATATTTATCCAATATCCAAAGAGAATTGTTGGTCAATTCCTATTGGTTATTTCCTACTGGTCAATTTTATGGTCGTCCTAGATATCAATGTCACGTACTCCAATGTTGTTAATGTCACAGACTTCGATGCTGTTTCCTATTCGACCTAAATGTATAAATACGCGCATTATCTGTAATGTTTTATGACTCGGATCCCTAGTCCGGGATCTTGATTCTCTTCTGGACTTAGACCTCGTACTTTCTGGATACTTGTAGAATACATGTTCTACTCCATATCAAGTTTTGTCTTCTTTTATTCAACTGGGGGTTGTGACACTCGGATTGGAGTAGCATGTCATGTTGCCGGATCCTCGATCCTCACTCTTGTTTTCCGACTAAGGTAAACTCGTAATAATAGTTCAAGGATATCAAAATGACATGTTTATGTGCATAAGTAACAACACCACTGGTGTAGTTAAAGCGTATGTGGGAATGTCATTAAAAATTGTCTACCTCAAGAAGTATTCATCAAAGGTTGTCCACTTGTTTCACTTTTATCAAACATCGGTTTCTGACAAACACCTCCAGAAATAACACACTTGTCGTTTAAGTTTTCAGGAATTTATCTCTTACCAGTAAGTAAGTACACTTGTTGACTTAGAAAATTCAGATAAAATAGCCTTATTTGGTGAGGACGCTAACAGCATCTAGAATAGAGTCTTGGAATCGTTTTGAACCAACATACTATATAAGTCTATTTAGGATGTGTTCTGTTTGACTGGTCGCGACCACTTCCCTTTTCTCTGGAGTGTCATCAACGGTCTAATGGTTTATGGAGAATGACGAGATTTAGGCTCGGATTCAGAAAGTTTGATTGGTCCTTGCCAACTTGCATCACTTGTGGTATTAGGCAAGTCTACTGTCCTGTAATTCTGTCTGTTGTTCTATTTTACGAGTGTTGAAACTGTCTATTATGAGCATGTAGTTTAAAACTGAAGAGAACACAGTAATCAATAAATGACGCGTTTTTTCCTCATCGTATGATTGAGTACTTGCACTTATTTACAAGTTATCATCGGTGTCTTCGAAGCATTGCTCGTATATCGTGGGACACCCGAGTGAGCAACGCTATTATTAGGAATCGGTTGCTAGGTAAGAATGGCAGATTAATAGATGAAGTAATGAAACTTCATCAGTTGAGGTTGTTGGGACATATGTTGCGTATGCCTAACCACCGACTGCCTCGTCGAGCTTTGTTTTGTAGTGTAGGAATAGGTTGGAAGAAAGTTAGGGGCGGCCAAACCAATACATGGCAGAAATCCATGAAGTCACTGACAAGTGAACTGAGTCATGTCGGTAGTTGTCGACTACCTGGTTGGCGTTCGCGAGATGACAATAATCGATGGTTAGAGACCCTGAATGACATGGATGAAAACCGTTTGCAATGGTGCCGGTGCATTTATTCTTTGTGTTCTCTCAAATGCTAATCTTCTGGATTCTTCAACACCTCTAGTTTTGAGTTTCTAAACTTTTCTCACTGAATCAAACTTCTTGAATAAAATCTTCTAATCGTAACCTCTCCGATTACTTCTAATACCTTAACCACCTCTTCTACTATTGGATTTGAATTGACAATTCTATCTGTGTGCTGATGTGGTATGGCAACATGAACTGATGTACTTACGTACGAAGTTTTCCGTTGCATCTGACTGACTGACTGACTGACTATTTACAAGTTAGTCATTTGATTTGATTATTATGACCCATTTTGATGTCATGTACTGTTACCGGGTATGAAGGTGGATGTCAAACATCTTAGTAGGGTTCTGTTTGTCAGAAGAGGCATCGGACTTCCAAAGGAAATTCGATTTTCATCATGAATCATTTGGATTAGTAGTTTTGGACTATTTTCATTTTCTCCATTTTTTTTTTCGTTGCTCACAAAAAACAGATGATTATGATCGTTGGTGTAATCTGAAACAAGAAACACCTGAAAAGAATGATTACTCTTCTTCTTCCTCATCCGATAATGATGAATCCGTATCATCGTTGCCATCAAAGAGTACTAGTAGTGCTAACAGACGAAAATCTTATTCAAATCGTTCCACATCAAGTAGATCATCTCATTCATTTGCTTTAAATGATACGTCAAGTGCATTACCGTCAATCACCACATTAACTCAACCAAAATCCACTAATCGAAAATCATCATTGCGTACTCGTAATTGGGATGATTTAATGGTTGATCTGGATGAAGATGAACATAGTCGACCAGTGCCGCCGCTATCGCTACCGTCATCATCATCATCAAGCGTGAAATTGAAAAAATCCATGAATAATGCAGTTGAATCGTATAAAGAAGCAATGAAAGCAATTGGTGGTAGTTCTAAAACACGGTAAATATTTCATACGGTTGTGTAAAATTGTCTTTATATATCCTTCATACTTACAGTTGTTATCTTTTGTGAAGTAGATAGATAGGCCTCTGTGCTGATGGGGCATGGCAACATGAACTGATGTACTTACATATGAAGTTCTGCGTTGTATCTGTCTGTCTGTCTGTCTCTGAAGTAGATAGGTCGCTGAGCAGCGATCTCCAACCAATTCACTGACGAATGGACAAAGACTACAAGGTTGTAGTCCGCTAGACACCACTAACCGATGGTTAGAAACTTTGGTGTAGGTGCATTCATTCTTTGTGTTCTCTGAAGAAATCCTAGTCTTCTGAATTCCTTATCACCTTCATCTTTCTCTCTCTTCAAGTTTATTTCACCAGTTCGTACTTCTTAAATAATCTCTTCAAACTTTAATCTTTCAGATTATTATTCATACTTTTACTAGCTCTAGTAATACAGTGGTGCGAGCTACTTATAAGTAGTATATGACGTGAGTGTCAACGTAATGTCTGGCAGCAGAAGATGGGGGAAGATCAAGAAAGGAAGAGTTCGGAACACAATGGAATTTGTATGAAACGCATGAATAGTAGTGACAATGGATTGATGTTTTGCAACAGGAACAGTCCAGTTCGATATGATGAACTGTTATTTTGCAAATTAACAATTTACGATATGGTTTTCCAATTTTACTGAGTAACTCGGTAGTTTTCGTTAAATCAGTCGGGTTGCCCCACCGGTGTTCTCATTCACTACAATACTGCTACGGGATTTGAATTGACAACTGCATCTCTGTGTAGTAGTATGTAGTATGGCAACTTAAACGTACGAAATTCTATGTTGTAACTGACTGACTAACTGTTTTGAGTTCTTCTTTTTATTTCTTCCTAAATGCTTTTAATGACCACCCCTAGATCTGATTCCATTTCATCACACCAACACTTGTGAAGATGCTATGAAATAAATCTTCCATCGAATGTTATTCTTAAGTGAACCGTGTTTAAGCGGTGGTAGTTAATTGAAAAAGTCTAATACAGTTTTGGTTGGATGATTTTATTTGACACTGTAGCGTTTATAGACAGACAGACACATAAGAGTGAGAAACATAAAAGTAGAGTAAGCTAAACATATGCGATAAGCGATGTCATCCATGCACACACGCTGAAATAATTAGATCCAAGGTTATAAGCGAGTAATTGATAGGTCCAAATTGACGGTAAACAATGTTTCAACAAGAAGAATAAATACATTAGTTTATCCAAAAGTTTGAACAAGTCATGTAAGCTCAACATAAAAAAGTCCACTTACAATCAAGACTCAGTCTAACTGTCAATGAATTCATGGATTTGTGTCATGTTTCGGTGTGACCGCCCTTAGCTTAATTCCAACCTACTCCAACACCACAAAACATAGCTCGACGAGGCAGTCGGTGGTTGGGCATTCGTAACACATGTCCCAACCACCTCAACTGATGAAGTTTCACTACCTCATCAACTGATTCGCTACTTAGTACCTTTTTTCTAACACCAGCATTGCTTACTTGGTCATCACAGAATAGACGAGCAACGCTTCAAAGACACCTATTATGAAATACTGGTAATTTACGAGTATCTTCGCTTCTTAGTCACCATGTTTCACATCTGTAAAGTAGGATGGAGCTAATCGTTATACAGATGAAACGTGGAGAAATTCGAATACTTCACTTCTTCTATCTGAAGTTTGTGCTGATGATGTTGTTCAGAAGAACAATGAATCCTCCACAACAAAAAAATCCAGCTCAGAGAACCAAACACCACCACCACCACCACAGTAGAATCGTCTTTTAGTTAACAGATGGATATCTTGCCTTCTCCGTAAATAACATAGGTTGGCGAAACCAGCTTTGTGTATCTGTGCTAACATTTGATCAGATATCAGGCTATCAGGACATAGGAGCTTTCGAAGATAAGTGAATCGGTCAACACACTCAACTACTTCATTTCCTATCACGAGTTTAGCTGTCGACGACATAGGACGAAACGTTCGTCCTGAATTCCACTACTAACCACATTCTTGTTTATTCTATATAAACCACTACAAATAAGATGCTCAGATGCCTACCAAGTGATTGATTAAATCTTGGTCAGACTATGTGAACAATGGAATAATCTCAACCATTTTCAAATGGAATTACGTGTATTCACCGTGTATTTTCTTTTTAAAACTTTTTTACTTTACTCAGTTCGGTGGATAAACGTCAGTCACTGGATAATAATGGGAATTCAATGAAACGTAGAAAAAAATCCAATTTAATCAATGCAGACGATGATGATGGTTGGTTAGTTTTAGATGAAAAACCAAAAGGATCTCGTTCTGTTTCTAGTACAGTTGTGAAAGAACATTTTGATACATTGAATGTAATGAAACATGGCAAATCTACAGGTTAGATATTGATAATTGAACTCATTTGTTTGTTTTTCTACATGATTACATTTTCATTTATTTTTCATTTTTTTCTCTGCGATGATTTCACTTCTACAATACCCGACTGTAGCTGCTACCTTGACGTGGTAGTCGGGCTTGCCTATTGTGTGATGACCCAACCGAGCTGTATTGACTGGAACATATGCCAGGCAGGTCGATTGAAGAACGATGAGACTAAAAGCAGCTACTCAAGGTCTGAGGGCGAAGTCGTACTGCTGACTGTAGAGGGGTGTGACAGCAGTAAGGTGTTCCTCTCGAACAACCAGCATCTGCAGCGATGCTGCCTTCTCACAAGGAAGGAAGGGGTTAGAAAAGGTTGACTCTAAAAATGTCACACCTCACCTTACCTCACAGATTTCTGTCTCCGGCGGTAAGGCCTTTCAATCAAGAGCGGAGCTAACACCTGAAAAAGGCCGTGTGTGATCGGCCTTAAGCAGTTGTCCCTTGGGATGTGCGGTCACCCTTCCAGGTTTATAAGACCAATGCTAATCTGCTATCGCTATCTTGAAGAAACACCCTTCCACGTTGTGAGCAGCCGAGAAGTGATATCCGCCCTCATACCTGTAAAACACTGACTTTTACAACACTGCGAATGTTGAGATCAAATTAACTAAGGGCTGTTGACAACTTTTTCGTCGTAAGGTAATGACTCCTTAACAATTGTGCGCATTTACAAACTTATTTCGATTTAAGTAAAGGTTTCCAGGCTTAACACCAAATCAGTAAATTAGTCATATCGTAACAATTATAATTATTGTTTATGTAATCGATTTTAAGACGATGTAAAGTTGTAGTACTATTTCTTGGAAATATCCCTGTACTACTGAGGATAGAAAGTGTCCAGTTCCCCTTCCTGAAATGCCATCATATGACCGGGCGTTTGCAAGTCTCTGTCATGGAATGCCTACCCTCACTGTCTTTACTCAGCGATAATTCAGTTTATGAAAGTCAGCTGACAAAAAAGCAAATGTTGAGTACTTAAACTGCGTTAGTAAATATTCAGTGTCCACTTGAGGATAGTTTGAACAACTCACAAACCAATGGTGTACATTAGCTTCAAGATTCAGATGCAATGAACGGCATATGAAGGCATTGTGCTCACAACCAAATGTTGCTCTATTGACTTTTGCCAACTTACGTCAATTATGGCGTAGGTGAGATATCCGTTTGCTAACTGCGTAGCAATTCGTTCCGTCCTACTATATATGGATGCGTAACATGGCCGGTAATGGTTGAAGACATTCATAGGTTATTAGTATTCGTTTGTAGATGTCTTCGAAGTATTTCTCGTGTATCCTGGGACACTCGAGTAAGCAATGCTGTTGTTAGGAAAAAGAGTTCTAGATTAGAATTACAGATCAATAGATGAAGTATTGAAACTTCATCATTTGAGGTGGTCGGGACAAACGGAACAAATGCATGAAGTCACTGACAAGTAGACTGTTCTATGTAAGTAGGTGTAGACTACCTGTTTGGTGTCCACAAAACGATAGTAACCGATGGTTAGAGACCTTGAATGACATGGCTCAAAATGTCTGTGTTCATGTAGTACGGCAACGTGAACTTCGTATGTCCGTACGTCTTTTGCGTTGTGGGTTACGCCCTGAGGTCGATTTTTCGTGAATAGGCTTCCTAAGAAAACCAAAGGGGTACCATAATATTTATGCCCCATATAAATCATTAAGCTTGTGAATATGTTGGACTACTACTGATCAAGTATCCAAACTGTAACAAGTGGTTTCTTTAGGTGGTCACTTCTCGAGTCTTTGACATACATTTCTAATCCATCGGACAATTGGGCGATGTTCGGATATGCAGTTCAGTGTTAGCCATCGACTACACTATATATTCTCTGAAGATCGTAGAGCCCATGTGAGATATAGAGTTGAAATTGGAGATATCCAAATCCCCTAGATGAATACCTTGCACTCAGTTGTTGGTTTTCGTCCTGTTTAGTTCATCTATGCGTGGAGAAAATAATAATTAGAACCTCTGTGACGGTGGCCATATATATATATATATATATATATATATATATATATATATATATATAACTCAATTAAAGCAGTTTGCATCAACCTAAAGTGAATTCCTACCCCGTTTTCTATATGCAGCGACTGTCCGGTTTATGAAATCGAGCGAATGAAAATCAAACGTTGATTACTTTAACCAAGTTGGTGAACATCGAGTGTCCACTTAATGATAGTTTGAAAACCGATGGTCTACGTGAACTCCAGGATTCAGATGCAACGAACGGCATATAAACTCATTCTGCTCTCCACCTAACATAGGACTTAATCGCCCAATGTAGCTCTACTGCCTTGTGAACTCCAAGCTTTTTCAGTTTTCGATACTCGGATACTATCTCAATTCTCATATAAATATTCATTGCTGAAGTCAATAAGTCAATAAGCAGTCTTCATTATTCATATCCAACGCTTAACTTCTACTTTATCGCTACAAATTATTTTGTGCCCTGTTATCACCAAGTGTTTCCAATCGTAGATTAAAACTGTCACGTCTATTGATTACTTATGTAAACACATGATTATTGATAAATAGGGGTACCTAAATATTTATACGCCATACAAATTATTGAACTTGTTAGCGGATTGATTGGTATACTGACCGGCTAGCCAATCTGAGACAGGCGGTTTCTTTGAACGGCTACTCCTCGAGCTTTTAACTTACATGTCTAATCTGTTAGAAAATGGAGAAATGTTAGAAGATGTAGTTCAGTGTTAGTCGCCGACTACACCATATCTTCTTTGAGGATTGTGGAGTCGGTGTGAATCGTAACGTTGAAATCAGTGTTGTTCAAATTCCGTTGCACCCAGGTGTTGATTTGCGTCCTGTTAATTTCGTAAACAGAATCTTTTCCATAAGAAGACAATTATTAGAATTTTCATGATAGTGTAGTGTGTCGATTTACTGTGTGTCCTAATTAGCTCGTCTAGATTATCGTTATTAAATAGCGTCTGACGGTTTATAAATCAGAAGATGAATTCGTAGTGATGAATACGTTTATTCGGGACACACCACAAAGCGAAGTGGAGAAGCGGTGAATAAAACGAATGAAGTAACGTGAATTGCAGAAGGCTGTTGAACCAGCTCCCAGGATTACAATGCGAACGAATGGGCGAAGGAAGCGGATGGACAAGTGAAGAGCGTTGGAGAAGGCTAGTAAGCCTACTCAAAGAGATAGAGCGTGACTAGGAATATGTAGTCAGACAGACACGCGATAAGCGAAATAGGCATGCACACATGAATAAAAGCGACGAATAGTTGACAAGGTCAAATGACAAGTGGTGGGACACGTCATGTGAGGCACTACAATAGAAGCTATGTTTGTATGAATGTATGATAGGATTTAGAGAGAAAGAGAATCAACTCTCTCCATTCTCAACCGGTTCTCGCTCAATTAAAGCATTTTGCGTCTACCTATATTGATGAACTCAATACACTATGAACAAGCTATTGATTTTTTTGGGATGAATAAATTTTTATCAAAAGTAATAACTGACATACTCCTCTTGTATATTGTATTTTTGTTTCGCCCCCCCTCCTTGTTTTTCTACAATCGTTTCAAACTATTACAGGATCTAGTAAGAATCGTTTTGATTTAGCTGATTTGGAATTTTCTCCGCATAAAGCTTTCACTTCAACACAAAATGATCATTTAACATCATGTCCACCTGGACCATCATCGTCGTCATCATCATCACAATTACCATCAAAGTGTACTTCTACACCGATTAAACAACGAAAACAACAAGAAGAAGAAAATAAACCGATCGATCGATTGTTATCATCATCGAAAGATTCATCCATCCAAAAAATTCACTGTCTACCATCATCAACAACAACAACTGTAGATCATCAATTCAAGTTGGGCAAATTGACTACAAATGAACATTCAGGTAAGAAAAAAAAGGTTAATTAATTAATTTATTCTTTATATGTTGATAGATGTAGGGCTACTACCTGGTTGGGTTCCGTGAGACGATATGGTTCAGAATCGTTTGTAATGGCGTAGGTGTATCCACAGTGGTTGGGTTCTCTCTAATTCTAATCTCTGGAATTCTTCCATAATCTCTATCTTTCTGTGTCTAAATTTATCTCATTGAATTATACTTTTCGAATCATATCTTCGTTCCCTAATCTTCTCCATTGCTGCTAATAATTCTACTATCGTTATCACTCTTGAATTTGAACTGAGTTGTGTCTGTGTGTTGATGTGGTATGGCAACCTGAACTGATGTACCTACGTTCGAAGTTGTGTGTTGTATCTGTCTGTCTGTCTTATTCTTATTCCTCTTTTTTGTGTAATGTCCTCCAAATGTAACATGTTGTTTCAGGATTGGGTTGCATCGGCACCGGAACTAGTGATAGGAAGTGATGTAGTTGAGCATTTCACGGGTCTCGTGAGTGCTGATGGCCTGGTTTGTGTGTGACGAAATCACAGCACGAACACTGAAGGCTCGATTGGATTTCGCCAAATTGAGTCACTTATAGTGTAGGCGAGATATCCGTCTGTTAATCAAAGAACAAGTCTACTCCTGCAGCAGTTCGTTTCTTCCTACTTTATGACTGTGAAACATGACCACTAAGAGTAGGAGATATTCGTAGGTTACTAGTATTCTGTCATAGATTTCTTCGAAGCATTGCTCGTATATCTTAGGACAACCGAGTAAGCAATGCTGTTCTTAGGAAAAAGAGTTCTAGATAAGAATTACAGATCAATAGATGAAGTATTCAAACTTCATCATCTCTTCACATCACTATTTCGGCCATACAACCACAAAGAGTTTAGACATACATCCAATCAATGATGATCTGTCCACTTCGTTGAACAGATCACTCTTATGCATATTATTCACACAAGATTACTGAATTGTGGTTAGTCACTTTCTTTTTGGCAATCTGTTGATAGATTTTACTCTAATGAAATTAAATAAGAAACACAACGATCACTGTACAGTTAAATTGTTCAGCTTTATCAACATAAAACATTTTGAATTGTATTCAATAAAGGAAGTATTCATTCGATTGATTAGCTCTTATTTATACTCTAATCAATTCATCGCGTATGCACTGGTACGCTTGACACTGGGGGGGGGCATGCGTAAATAGATACAGTCAGATAGATACTGCTCATTATCTTCTCGTGGTACATGGTTTTTTTTCACATAATTTGGAGTTTGAAGTGTGTAGTTTTGGTACTGATGTCAAGTGAGTGTATACTGGGAATTCAGGTTAGGCGGTGAGAAAACTCTAATTCCAAACAAATAATGCACATGAGCTTCACGATCCTTCCAGAACAAATGGTGTATTAAGCTATTGTTGGTTAGCAGCTAGCATAAGACTGCTCCACTAGTAGTTGGAAGACTATGATTCGAAACTAATGGTGAACATGAGTTGCAGTATCCTGAGAGAATTAACGGTGTATAAACCTATTATTTATGATTAGCTGCTATAAAACTGCATTTCGTGACATCGCTCCATTGCCTTGTAGATTAGATCTGTAGATTAAAATCTCGGGAACTGATCTGCTGAGAAAACTACTGGTTTGGTTTTGCGTAGTGAAACAGCATCCCATTTAACCGACACATAAATTCATTAATTTGTGTGTCGTATAAATATTTAGGTGTTATGTAATAAAGGGTTGCGGAGATTGTTGAGTTACTTTGAACTCATGAATCAGTCAATGCTAAACCACCGTTAGAAACCTGAAAGCATTGAACGGCGGTTTCCTCATGGTATGGGATTCATCAGCAGTGTGCATCTACACAATTCCAGCTACTCGCAGGATTTGAACTCAGTACCTTGAGTTTTGAGCGAGAACGCTTAACCTCTTGCTCCAGTGAGCGGTCACCCAACGTTGTTAGTGTCTTGCCTTGATCAATCGACGGTCTCTTGCGCAACCTCATCATTGGGGATGTTAGATCCTCAAAACTCGCTTGATAAGTGCCTTATTTTGGACGTCACGTTTGAGAGCATCGGCTGATCAGTCGACCTTGAGATTTCATTCCCTACCAGGAAAATCCATGGCTGTGATTGGCTGCTGTGTATTTTAGTGTGCTATTTTCGTAACTGTCCCAAGGACGTTTCTATGATGTATTAATAAAGGAGATTTGTGTGCTTGATTGTATCGTGATTGCTGGATGTTTATAGAATATACTTTCTACGCTTACAAAGACTTCTGTTTACAGCTTGGGATTCAAGGTAGCCTATTTAGGCTCTGTTAATTGTCTCGTTCGACTAAGGTGAACTCGTATTATCTTCAAGCACACCAGGTGACGAACATAACACTCATCCACTGTTTTCGGTCAGCACTATTTCCCACCCAACAGGGTTGAACTCCACTGGTCACGACCAGTAGAACTCGGACAAGCTTCCGAAGTTCCTGGGTTCGAATCCTCTGAGCAACAGGAGTTGTGAGTACGCATTGCTGATGAGTAGTCCCATACGAGGTCGAAACGGCCATCCGGTGCTTCCAGGTTTCCGAAGGTGGCCTAACATTGATCGCTCCATGATTTCATTTGTTTGAATAAACAAAAATACGTCATATTATAGAAATATCGTACATTTTGTTATGATATTTGACCTGTAATGAGTTAATGAGTGAGGAGATCGATAATCAGTCAGTTTTGGGTAAATGTTTAGAATACCACTTTTTCCACTGACCTCCCTAACATTCAGATTTCACTGTATTCGGACTGCCTGTAATTGTTCTCAATTAGTTGTTGATCAGTTATTGTGTTATGTGCGCCACACGACATGTGACACGTGTTAGAATATTCTACTAATCTCGCATCATGGTTCATAGTGTGCTTAGTTGTATCTTATCTACTCATTACAAATGTCTAACAAGCCAAGATGAGAGAGTCTAAGTTTAACACATTGTACTATCCACTGGATCCATTCATATTTGATGTCGTTATTATTCACACTTTTCTTTTGAGGCATTTCATTCTAATTTTTCCTCTTCCCTAACTTTTTATTTTTTTCCCTCTGTGCAGAAACAACAACAACCACAACAACTTATTCAGTGAAAGTAGCATTTTCTGATATATCAGTATTAGTTCCAGTGGATTCATTGTAAGTTGAATTAAAAAGAAATATATTTCATTGAACATTGAAACTGTGGTGTACCGATTTACTGTGTGTCCTAATTAGCTCGGTGGGAATTAGCTCGTCTAGATTATCGATACTAAATAGCGTCTGACGGTTTATAAATCAGAAAGTGAACTCGTAATGATGAATAATACGTTTATTTGAGACACACTACAAAGTGAAGCGGTGAATAAAACGACGAATGAAGCGATGTGAATTGGAGAAGGATGTTAAGCCAACTCTCAGGATTACAATGCGAACGAATGGGCGAAGGAAGCGGATGAACAGGTGAAGAGTGTTGGAGAAGGCTAGTGAGCCAACTCCTAGAAGAGATAGAGCGTGACTAAGAATATATAGTCAGACAAATATAAGACAGACATGTGACAAGCGAGTGTACCGACCAAACTGCTACATTATGGATCATTGTGGAACAATCAATTGAATGGAACTCACCACTCTACATCAACTTCATCGACTACGAGAAAGCATTCGATAGCGTGGATAGGAAAAAACTGTGGAGGCTTCTTCGACACTACGGTGTGCCTGAGAAAATAGTCAACATCATACGGAATTCTTATGATGGATTCAACTGCAAAATCGTACACGAGGCACAGCTAACAGACTCGTTCGTGGTGAAGACCGGTGTCAGGCAATGTTGCTTACTCTCACCCTTTCTCTTTCTCCTGGTCATCGACTTGATTATTAAGACGTCGACATCCGATGCAACACAACATGCACCAACCAAATCACTCTTGATGGAGATGCCTTGGAGGACGTTGACACCTTTACATATCTGGGCAGCATCATTAACAGTCAAGGTGGATTGGATGCAGATGTGAGTGCGTGGATTGGCAAAGCAAGGGCTGCATTTCTACAGTTGAAAAATATCTGGAACTCCAAACAACTTTCAACCCTAACCAAAATCAGGATTTTCAATACAAATGTCTAGACAGTTCTACTATATGGAGCGGAAACTTGGAGAACTACTAAGGCCATCATCCACAAGATAAAAGTATTCCTTAACAACTGTCTACACAAACTACTTCGGATTCGTTGACCAGACACGATCAGCAACAACTTACTTTGGCAGAGAACAAACCAGATTCAAGTGGAGGAGGAAATCAGGAAGAAGCGATGGAAGTGGACAGGGCACACACTACGAAAAGCACCGAACTGCGTCACGAGACAAGCCCTGACATGGAACCCTCAAGGCAAAAGGAAAAGAGGAAGGCCAAGAAACACATTACACCGATAAATAGAGAAAGATATGAGAAGAATGAACAAACACTGGACAGAACTGTCGAGGGAAGCTCAGGACAGAGTTGGTTGGAGAAAACTGGTGAGCGACCTATGCTCCATTGGGTGTAACAGGCGTAAGTAAGTAAGTAATGTGACAAGCGAAATAGGCACACATGAATAAAAGCGACGAATAGTTGACAAGGTCAAATGACAAGTGGGACACGTCATGTGAGCTCATACAAACCAGACAATAATTAGAACGAATGGTACATATAAATTGTTGCAATACCTCTCAAAGAAACTGTGGGATTTATTTGTGACTTCATAACTTCACACAAAATAAGAATACCCATTCTGACTACCTATCTTCGTGATCTAATTTTGCTCTGCACAAAGAATATAAAATTCTATTTCCAAGGTAAAGCATATACGCAAATCGATGGAGTGGCTATGGGAAGCCCTCTCGTACCTGTTTTAGCAAACATATTCATGGTAATGATAGAAAGGCAAGTGAGTCACTTCATCGATGGTATTACACTTTACGGTACCTCCACTTCACTAGTTTCTGCCCCATACAATATAAACGTTCTGTTGCCAAAACTTTATTCGCTCGAGCAAGTAGAATCTGCACGACTACGAATTCAAGCTTATTACTGAGACACTTAAACGGATATCCCGAAACGTTTATTGGTCATCAGAACACAACTACGACGAAGCTGATAGCAACTGATGTGCCCAAGAAACCAGTGTACCTACAGTTACCTTTCAAAGGTGATCATTGCATGAAAATTACAACCAAACAGACTGCAGCTGCAATAAAAAAGACCTTCAATGCAGCTAATTTGAGGCTTATCACAACAACTCAATCGATCTCAGTTACCTCAATCAAGTCTCCAAGACCTATTCAGTCGAAATCCCATTGTATTTACCAATTCACATGTAACAGCGGAGAAAGTTACTTAGGGAGGACAGATCGCCGATTGGAAGACAGGATAGGGGAACATATTCCAAAATGGCTAATCAAATCCATGATTCATCAACCTAGCCCATCATCTCAAAATCGATCAAGAAACCCAGCCTCGTCCATTGCAAAACATCTACTGATGAGTGGTCATCAAATTGACCTAAAATCAGCCTTTGAAGTTGTGACATATCATCAAAACTCACACACACTGAAACTACTTGAAGCTATCTTGATTGGTCGGAAAAGTCCAACTTTATGTGTTCAAAAACAACTGTATTTTTACCTTTGTTTACCATGGTTCTAGTGAGTGAATGTCATGCTAAATAAGAAATTCTGACCTTACCTTCAAAACTGTATTTACACAAATAACATGTTGCTTGTATGTGACTGACGAGAAATGGTATTATCTCACAAAATATGTCTTCTCGTTTCTCTGTTCGAACAACTTGCTTGGTTAAATAAATTAATTTAAAAGGGCTTAATCAAATTAAATGTAAACGAACTCGAATATATGTGAAGGCACTACAAAATATTGAGACACAGAATTCTATTTATAATTGAAATTGCGATGACCAGTGATGTATCAGTAGTCTCATGACGGCCGGTATATCCAGGTTTCTAATGATGGTTTTCATACTGGTCGATTCATGATTTCAAAAGAATAACTAATCATTTGAAATAAAGGTGATAGATAGTGTCTATTAGGCACTCATCTGTAGTTGGATGTACTTGCCACATCTAAGAGTTGCTATTCATTCGGAGGCTCGCAACCCAGTACTGTTTGCTTGAAACGTTATCGTGTTATCCATTTAGCTATTGAGTCAAGATGGTCATTGTAATTCAAAGAAGCTTTATTTCGACAAAGATTTGTTGAGTTTCTTAAATCGAGTGTTCAGTTAGTAGCCAGTGTATCACTAGTCTCATGACGATCGGTATCCAACGTGTTCTTAGACTTAGCATGTTACTTCGTCCAGATAATTGTTCCTAAATAACGCCTCCAAGGTTTATAAATCAGATGGCGAACATGAAGTAGTGTTGAATACGTTTATCGTTTGGCGCAGCGCAAATAGAGACCATAGGCACACAGAGAAAAGGGTTAGAGAGTGATCGAATCGGCGAATGAATTATTAAGATTAAAATGTACATAGGAAAATGGCTGAGTCATTGAAATATTTAAGAAGTTAACAGTAAGGCGAGTAGGATGAATATTCGTCTATGCGGTAAACAATGTTCAGTCCTAACAGGTCATACAAAAAAGACAATTATAAAAGTCGATGTTACATATTAATTTTTGCTGTACAAATGGCTTGGTTAAATAAGTTAATGAAAAGGCTTAACGAAATTAAATATGAACGAACTCAAATGTACGTGGAGGCACTACCAAATAATTGGTCAATCATTGTTAGACGAACATTAGAAATCTGAAAACACTGGACGGCCGTTTCATCGAAGACGTCAACACCGGTAAGTGTCCGGACGCGTGACCGAAGCTCTTGGATTTAATTCCCGCGAGTGAGTGTCGTCAATGTGCACTACTGATGAGTCCCATACTTGGACGAAACGTCCGTCCAGTGCTTCCAGATTTCTAATGGTAATCTGTCAATGATCGATACATGATTGATAGTGGTACATCACCTTCAAATAAATAAGATCCCTAAATTCTCATGTTCCTTTTATTATCCGATCATTTAAAATCAGATCACGTAGTGTATCATGGTTAGCTAATGAAGCTTATCGTCGACGTCAAATTCTTATGGGATTTAATTCTTCTAATCTACCACCACCATCTGTTCATGACCCAAATGAACCGTTAATTCGTTTATCAACAAAAGATCAAGCTTTACTACTCCCGTCGGATCGTTTATTTTCAATTTTACCCAATTTAAGTCAGTCTGGATCAATGATTGAATTTTTAGCGGAATTTAATGAGTCTAATGCTGTTGTTACACAAAAAATATCAACCAATTTGCCTAATCATTGTATGAATTATTATGGTAAGTGATTGATGCTCTGAGCCATCGTTTTATTTTATAATTTTCTGTGTAATAATGATTCTTCGATAGTATTGTGGTAGTGTATTTTGTGTGTAATGTACTATGAAGAGGCTGTCTCAATCACTGATTGTCCCAATTTATAAGAAAGGACAAAAGTCTTCTTGTGACAGTCACAGAGGAATCAGTCTAACTAATATAGTTTCTAAATTGTTAGCCTCGATTATACTTAGATGCCTAACTAGACCTCGTGAAGAGCAGACTCGGTTTCATACATGAACGTGGCGGTATAGACCACATCTTCACACTACAATAGGTCTTGGATCACAGACACATATTTAGACGTTCGACAATAGTCGTGTTCCTGGACATAAAAGCGGCATTTGACTCTGTTGATCGTGAGGTTCTGTGGAAGTGTCTGTCATTGAAAGGTGTACCAAAGAATTACATTAACCTTATACAACCTCTACTCGAACACCACTGTTCGAGTGAGAGCTTATGGCGAACTGTCATGGGGTTTCTTTACTTCAAGTGGTGTCCGTCAGGGATGTCCACTTTCTTCATTCTTGTTTAATTTTATCATAGACATGCTCCTAGAAATAACCTTATCTTCGTCTGAATTTTCAGGAGTAGACCTTTTACCAGGTGGCTCGCTTATTGGCTTAGAATATGCCGATAACATTGTCCTACTTGGTGAAGACGCTGACAAAATGCAGTCTTCTGATTACCCGGGATGCGATTTTCCCCCTCGAAATGCAAAATGTTGCTTCAAGATTGGGTTTCATCGGCACGTGAACTAGTGATAGGGAGTATACCGCTTCACTTATCTTGGGAGTCTCATCAGTGCTGATGGCCTGGTGTCTGATGAAATCTCAGCACGGATGCAGAAAGCTCGATTGACTTTTGCCAACCTGCGTCACTTATGGCGTAGGCGACATATCCGTTTGCTGACTAAAGGACGAGTGTACTGCGCAGTAGTTCGCTCCGTCTTACTTTATGGCTGTGAAACGTGGCCAGTGAGAGTATAAGATATTCGTAGGTTACTGGTTTTCGATCATAGGTGTCCCCGAAGCATTGCTCGTATTTCGTGGCACAACCGAGTGAGCGATTCTGTTATTAGGAATCGGGTGATAGGCAAGAATGGCAGATCAATAGATGAAGTAATGAAACTTTATCAGTTGAGGTGGTTGTGACATGTGTTGCGTATGCCTAACCACCGACTGCCTTGAAGAGCTTTGTTTTGTAGTGTAGGAGTACGTTGGATGAAAGTTAGGGCGGCCAGACAAATACATGGCAGCAATCGAAGAAGTCAGTGACAAGTGGACTGAGTCATGTCCGTAGTTGTCGACTACCTGGTTGTGGTCCGCGAGATGATAATAATCGATAGTTAGAGACCTTGAATGACATGGCTCAAAATCGTTCGCAATGGCGCAGGTGCATTCATTCTGTGTGTTCTCTCAAATCCTAATCTTCTGGATTCTTCAACCACTATAGTTTTGACTTTCTAAACTAATCTCACTGAATCATATTTCTTGAATATTATCTTCTCATCCTAACCTCTCCGACTACTTCTAATACCTTTACTACCTCTTCTACTATTAGATTTGAATTGACAATTGCATCTCTGTGCTGATGTGGTATGGCAACATGAACTGATGTACTTACGTACGAAGTTCTACGTTGTATTTGATTTTGACTCTGAATCATTTTTCGAAAGTAGTATGTTAATGTATTTTGTGTGTAATGTGCCATGAAGAGGCTGTTTATTTACAGAAATATGCCCGTCACATCTATAAACATCCTCATTTACATTACAAATAGGTTATTGATTGCCTCTGATCTTAAAATAAACTTTGATTACGGCATACATTTCGATCTGCAGACATTCCACTCTCTCTCTCTGGTAACAACTTTTTGGCGACGCCTCACTATAGCATTACTTCCTATATGTCACTTTTTATGTGATAAATAGTGAAGCAGTTGAGCGTGTCGACCGCTGAATGACATAGCTCAAAACCGTTTGCAATGGCGCAGGTGCATTCATTATTTGTGTTCTGTCAAACCCTAACCTTCTGAATTCCTCATCAATCACCTTTATCTTTTTATGTTAAGTTTATTTCACTAGATTCTACTTCTTGAATAATATAATATCTTTGAACCTTAATCTCTCCGATTACAGCTAATACGTCTACTAACACTACTACTACTACTACTACTATAGGATTTAAATTGTCAATTCGATCTCTGTGTTTTAATGTGGTATGGCAACTCGAACGGATGTACGTACATACGTACGTACTAAGTTCTGCGTTGTAGCTGACTGTGTCATAAGGAGGTAGTGAATAGAACTTCTCTGGCAATGGCTATTGATACTTAGTCATGTAACAACAAGAATGGGCCTTACCTACTCACGGCGTTCGAGGATACTATTTTTGATATTGTTGTAACGCTTACCTAAATGATTCCCAGCTAAATCCTATTGCTTAATATTCTCTGACCACAATACACTGGACAAGTTCCCAAGAATCAAAACACGGTTGAACAGGGAAAGATTATATTCCAAAATAGCAAGGTTAAATGGAATAAGAAGCCAAAGGTGATGGCTAAGGCGGAGGTCAAAAATAGATACAAGGTTAGACTATTTATAGTATTTACATGAGAAGCTTGTGGATAGTAATTCACGTGATCGACTGCATTAGATTTAGCCAATCAGCGTGCAGCTAACAATACGAGAATTTTCTACCATGTTCTCCAAGATTCGATCAGGCGCTGGTTGGATAGGAAATTAGCCAATCAGCGCACAGCAACGTAATCATGCTTTAATTTCATGTATGTCTCACTAACACCTGCCCTTTGAGAAGATTCGTAGGATCTGGTGCTAGAGACCAACTGCTTCCTCCTGGGTGCCTTGCCACACGTACTCTTACGAGTCGCCTGCTTTGTAGGAACCATATCTGTGGACGACTTTCGATTGGGCTGCTTCCCCATCGATAAGTTTTGTTGAGGCTCATGAACAGCATATGGTATAGGGCGTCTCGGACGTGAAACAGGTTTGGCATCTGCTTTCACTGGTAGATGAGCTTTCATATTCGTACAGCGGCCAAGGCTATTCTTATAAAACAGAGGCTGACTTCCTATTCCGTTTATCTTGCAACCTTTTACCTGTCTTCTTTTTAAGTATCGTAGTGTCCAATGATGAACACGACACACTGCAGACACTGTTAATGGGTAAATCCATTATTCCCAGTTTTTCTAGCATGTCTAGACCAAGAAGATCAAGGTTTGGCCGTTCTATCAGACAGCATATTCCTGTACATTTTGTTCCGTTGAAGGAAAGTTCACACTGTATCTCACCAACCAGTTTTAACTCACCACCTGGAGCGCTTTTAGTTGTTTTCTTAGATGGCTTCATTGGCGGTTTTCCCAGCAAGTTATACGTTTCTCTAGACATTGAGGTGATATCTGATGCCGTGTCGATTTGAAAGTGAGCTGATGCACCGTTGATCTGGATGGTAACATACTTTCTCCGAACGTCATAGTCTGTTTGTAAAGCAGCTACCAGAGAAAGTGATTTAGACTCGGGTAATTTCACCACATGTCGAGTAAGTTTATGCTTCTTCCTGTGCTGGGATGTACGATTTGGTTGACAATGTCCTTCTTTATGTCCACGTTTGTTGCACATCTGACGTTTATGTTTTTTAAATGGACAGAATCGTACGTAATGCCGATCACCACATAACCAACAGATATATATATATATATATATATATACATATATGCCTTATAGGGTTTTGGAGATTGTTGAGTTACCTTATTGAAGTCATGAATCGATCAAGGTTAGACCATCATTAGAAACCTGGAGGCACTGGACGGCCGTTTCATTGCGGCATTGGACTCGTCAGTGTCATCCACGACTGCCGCAACTTGCAGGAGTTGAACCCAGAAACTTCTATCTAACCTTTAGGCTTCTGATGAGTCCCATCCCAGGACGAAATGTAGGTCTAACATTGATCGATTCATGATTTCAATTTTTGATATATATAGATATGTATATGTTGTATACTCTTCTTTATACCTTTTATTTTTAGACTCAAAATCAAAAGAAGAACCACCACCTCAAACTACATCACCATTGTTTCAATCAATCTTGGAGAAAGCACGTAATATGGGCATTGTCGATTTATCAAATCTTTCTATCAATGATATAGAATGTTGTAAATTATTAAGTCAATTAAATCGTACTATTTCTGGCGGTGTTCGTGTAATTACTGATGTACAACTTCAAGGTATTATATTACTCAGATTATTGATTGAAATGTTTTGTTAAAAGTATAATTATATTAACATTTTATTTCGTTGGTTGAGGTTCTGTTCTAATGCTGCTACGTAGCTATTCGAATCCTACCGACGTCCGAATTCAAATATTCCAATACGACCTAAATACTCTATTCCCAAATCTCCTATATAATATCAGAACGCAACACCGTTGGATGGAGTTGTTTATTGAGTCGAGTACAGATAAGAGGTAGACAGGAAGGAACGGAATCATGAAGTCTTTTACATATAGTGCGTATTTATACATTTAGGTTGAATAGGAAAGAGCATGAAAGTCTGCGGCATTGACAGTTTAAGACGACCAATAGGAAAGAACATTTGAAATGACATTAACAGTCCGGGTGACCAATCAGAGACAACATTGAAGTATTTGACTTTGACAGTTAAAACGACCATATTTTTGACCAATAGGATTATACTTCCAAAAATAGTACTCTTAGGATATTTGACCACAAGATCACGTGGCTTGAAATCATTTGCAATAGCGTCCATGTATTCATTATTTGTTTCCGCCCAAATTCTAATCTTATGAATTTATCAAGGTATTATATCGATTAAACAGTTCGACATTCAGTTGGTACTTTTTTTGAAAAATTGTTACGCATGCATGTAAACATGTCGATTTGATATGCTTGAACTATTATGAGTTTACCTTAGTCGGAAAACGAAAGTGAGGATTGAAGATCCGGTGATACGACATGCTACTCTCATCCTATTGTCCTAAACCCCTATTGAGTAAAAGAAGAAGACTTGATATGAAGTAGAACCTACAAACATATAGAAAGTTGAAATTCTGAGTCCAGGTCGTAAAACGTTATAAATAATCCGTATTTATACATTTAGGTCGAATAGGAAACAACATTGAAGTCTGTGACATTGCCAATTGGGACGATCAATAGGAATTGACCAATATAATTAGACTTACAAACAGTTATCTTAGGATACCTTAACATAAATACAACACAAATGTAAAATAATTCTTTAATCGTATAGTCTATCTTAAGTCATAACTATATGTATTTAGTGAAATAATCTGTAAAAGCAGTTATTTAGTACTCTCTCTAACCTTACTTAGTTACTTACGCTAGTTACCCCCTAATGTAGCATAGACCGCCGACTAGGGAATTATTTTTATGGTTGGAGTTTTTTTTAGAGGTTTGGATTTCTACGGGGTGTGGTCGCTCAGTCAGTCAGTCATTCACTTACAACGTAGAAATTCGTATGTGCGTACATCGGTTCAGGTTGTCATACCACATTAACAAAGAGACGCAACTGTCTGTTCAAATCCCATAGTAGTACAGATAGTAGAAGTATTAGCGGTAATGGAGAAGAGTTCGAAGGTATTCAAGAAACATAATTCAATGAAATAAATTTAGAAAGAGAAAGATAGAGATGATGACGAATTCATAAGATTAGGATTTGAGAGAACATCAAGAGTGGTTGCACCTGCACCATTGCAAACGATTTTGAGCTATGTTGTTCAAGGTCTCTTACAATCTATAACTTTTGTCTCGCGGACCCCATACAGGTAGTCGACACCTACCAACATGATTCAGTTCATTTGTCAGTGAGGATATGATCACTAACCACATGCCGAACCGTCCTCCTTTATCCGGGTTTAGAATCGGCAGTAACCCTAATAGCGCTCCAAACGGAGTTATTATCGAACCTGCTATTACCTGCTAATCAGTGTCAACTGAAAATATTTCCTATATCTTTCATCCCTGATAACATTGTTTTTTTTATTGCGTAATGTTCCCTTAACTTTGTTACATGAATTCCTTATCATAGTCACCTCTGTTGTTTATCATCATTTCAAATTAGCACAGCAAAGTCTCCAGATTAATAATAACCGTATCACGGTTAGATTTATAACAGTTTAAACGTTCGGGCGTAAGACTAAAAGTCTTCGGTTCAATTCCCACCTTCAGAATCGTCAATACACACTACCGGTGGATGTCATGACGAATAGTATAATAGTAGTATAAATTTGACAAAACACAGTTTACTACTAAAATATGTTCTACATCTTATCTTCAAACTTCCATTTGCAAAACATACAAAATATTGACTGTCTTCTTTCACATATCTTCTGAAATTTTGAAAACACTGATCTCGTGCATACATTCCAAGTGTATCCATTCTTCTTGACTTCTTCCAAATCCTAATCCTCTTGATCTTTCTCTTTTCGAGCCTATTTCACTAGATTATACTTCTTGAATAGTAAGTTCGGATCGTGATCTTTTCGATTACTACTCATACTTTTACTACCTCTACTACTATGGGATTTGAATTGACAATTCGATCTCTCTGTGCTAATGTGGTAAGGCAACTTGAACTTGATGTACGTACACGTACGACGTTCTACGCTGTAGCTGACTGACTGACCGATCATGTATTTCAATTTTCAGATATTCACCTAAATTCAGTAGTCACTCCTAGGCGACACTCCACTACTTAGAAACCATATTGCAAGAACAATCCACCACAGTAGGACAAGTCGGCCTCCCAGAACTTTCACGTTTCTACTGGTGGTTGTCTAACATTGATTGGTTAGTTTCATGCATTCGATGGAATTCAACGATCCCTTGAATATTATTATGTAACATTTTTATTTGAGATAGTGAAGAAAATTTGTAGCTCAGGTGGATAATTTTGGTTGAGTTTCGTTCTCTGAGTTGGATGTTTTGATTGTGGTTATTTCATTGTTATTCTGAGCAAACAACGACACGTTTAAGGTCAATAACAACCAATAAGCATCGAGTTCAACAGGACAAACTAATGGATCATACGTCGAGAAATTCGAATACTTCACTTCTTTTATCTGAAATTTGTGCTGATGATGATGATGTTCAGAAGCAGAACAATGAAAGGCTCTGTTGGAGATGTTAGATCCCCAGATCTCGCTTGATAAATGCCTTAATTTTGTATTTCATGTTTGTGAGCAGGGGCTGATCAGTTGACCTTGAGATTTCATTTCCCACCCGGGAAATCCATGGCTGTGATTGGCTGCTTTGTATTTTAGTGTGCTATTTTTGTGACTATCCCAAGGACGTTTGTATGATGCATAAATAAACGAGAGTTGTGTGCTTGAGTGTATTGTGTGATTGCTGAGTATTTGTAGAATATACTTTCTACGCTACATCGGACAATGTGAACGTCTTCTTCAACTTCGCCTTCTAGAACAACTAGCAGTAGAATATCATGCTTTATCTTTGCTTATATCACTACATAAGGACAATCAGATAAAGGGAGAAGAAATCAAAATCAATGAGCAGACGATGACAAGTTAAATGTCAATAATAAGCAGTCATGATTGAGGTCAACGAGACAAACTGATAGTCATACGTGGGGAAATCCTACTACTTCATATTGACTTGAGTATTGTGCTCTTTCTACGCTATATCTGTTTTTCCGTTTTCAGATCAAGGTAGCTTACCTGGACACTGTTTCATTGTCTCGTTCACGTTTATCGACTAAAGTGAACCCATAATAGTTCTGTTAGGATATTCACCAAATATCCTAAGAGTACTATTTTTAGAAGTGTAATCCCATTGGTCGATTTCTATTGGTCAAAATTATGGTCGTTTTAACTGTCAAAGTCAAATACTTCAATGTTGTCTCTGATTGGTCATCCGGACTGTCAATGTCATTTCAAGTGTTCTTTCCGATTGGTCGTCCTAAACTGCCAATGTCACAGACTTTGATGCTCTTTCCTATTCGACCTTAATGTATAAATACGCACTATCTGTAAGCCTTCATGATTCGGATTCCGATTCCAATTCCGTTTCTCCTGCCTGTCTCTCTTCTGTATTCGACCCAATAAATAAATCCATTCCACGGTGTTGCGTTCTGATATATAGGAGATTTGGGAATAGTATTTAGGTCGTATAGTGATATTTGAATTGGACGCCGCTAGGACTGAATAGCTATACGTAACAGCGTTACAACAAGTTTCAAGCATACTTAGTAACGAACCTAACAAGCTCCACAACCAAAACGTCGCCAGCGCAGTGAACGCAACAACACCACCACAATAATTCTTTATTGAATTAATTATTCTTGTATTTTTATTTTTTGCTTTATAGGCAACTCATTAACTACGAATATTTTAGATCGACAACAATTTACTTCAATGAATTCAATGATTAACTTAACAGAATATTTATGTCAAATTTCATTACAATTGGTCAGATTAAATTTAAGTATGAATTTATTAAATGAACAATTTTTCAATCGATTTCTATGCACTTTATCAAAACAATTTAATAAAGAAGATAAAAGGTAATTTTTTTCATTGGTTGATTGATTCATGTGTTTTCCCTGATTGTGAGAAGTTGTGCGACCAAGTGAAGTTCAACTCTGGTATGAAGCGGTCATCTATCGAAGACAATGGGTGAGGTTGTGCAATATCTTCTAGGGATGATTGAAGTTAGGCACTAACATTACCAGCGTTCGCTCGACAGACCGAAGATCCTGAGTTCGATTTCCGCATGCCAGGAATCGTGGACGCGCACCTGAACTAGTGATAGGGAGTGAAGTAGTCGAGTGTGTTGATCACTTCACTTATCTGTGGAGTCTCATCAGTGCTGATAGCCTGGTGACTGACGAAATCTCAGCTCGGATACAGAAGGCTCGATTTGCTTTTGTCAATTTACGTCATTTACGGCGTAGGCGTGATATCCGTTCGAGACGAGTGTACTGTGCAGCAGTGCACTCTGTCCTAGTTTTATAACTGCAAATCATGACCGTTAAGAGTAAAAGACATTCGTAGGTTACTAGTATTCGATCATAGATGTTTAAGAAGCATTGCTCGTATATCGTGGGACAACCGAGTAAGCGATGCTGTCTTTAGGAAACGAGTACTAGGCAAGGATGGCAGATCAATAGATGAAGTAGTGAAACTTCAGTTGAGGTGGTTGGGACATGTGTTACGTATGGCTAACCACCGACTGCCTCGTCGAGCTTTGTTTTGTAGTGTAGGAATAGGTTGGGAGAAAGCTAGGGGCGGCCAGACCAAAACATGGCAGAAATCCATGAAGTCACTGACAAGTGGACTGAGTCATGTTGGTAGATGTAGACTACCTGGTTCGGGTCCGCGAGACGAAAGTCATCAATGGTTAGAGACCTTGAACGACATGGCTCAAAACCGTTTGCAATGGCGCAGGTGCATCCACTCTTTGAGCTCTCTCAAATACTAATTTTCTGGATTAGCCAGCACCTCTACCTTTGTCTTTCTAACCTTATCTCTCACTGAATTATACTTCTTGGATAATATCTTCAAACCCTAGTCTTCTTCATTACTATTAATACCTCTACTATCTCTATCACTTGGGATTTGAGATTACATTTGCGTCTCTGTGCTAATGTGGTATGGCAACATGAACTTATGTACATACGTACGAAGTTCTACGTTGCAACTGACCGACTGACTGTTGGATGAATATCCTTACACTGACTGCTGAACTTGGTTAAAACAGTAACCATCCTACAGTAGTGCTTCCAGGTTTCTATTGATGTAAAGAGCTGTTCTCGATCTCAATGATCACTTCATAATGTCTACAATAAAAAAGAATATTTCTATGTTCTCAATAGTTTTTGTTATAATTTTATTTCGCTTCTGCTTCTGTTTTTTTACGATACTTTATTCTAGCTCAGGTGTACTTATGCCACGATTACAATATTTTGATCTATCCTATAATTCATTACTTGGTGGTGGTTATGGCATCATGAAACGGCATAATTTAATGATTGATAATGATGGTGATAGTCAGTTATTAACCAATCAACATCATCTTCATTCTCATTGGATTATATTTATTGAAAATTGTTTAAAAGCATTTCCTAAATTAACACATTTAAATTTAGCCGGTTGTTCACTTGGTGCGGCTGATCTAATACCTCCTAAAGATGGTTATGATGGTTATCGTAAGGAATCACTGTGTCGTAGTTTCTCTACAGGTAGATTTATTTTTGATAATAGTAATATGATTCATAATTTGTGTGTATATACTTATTGAAACAGATCATAATTGGTAAATATAAGTGAACATAGTGCCTAGGTGGTGTGTACTACTTATACGAACGAAATAAGTAGTATAAGAAGTGACGTGAAAGAAGAAGAAGAAGTCTCATGGTCAGAAGAGGAAAACGGAAAGCAAATGGAGTAATATCAACACGAAGTAAAGGAAGCAACAGTAGGAATCGAAGAAGAAGAAGAAGGATGGAGTGTTGGAAGTCATGACTCAAAGAGATGGTGTGCAAATAGAGTGTGTTCAATGTAATGTTTTCGTTTTTAATTGACTCAGAGTGTAAATTTGCATAGTACCAATCTTCAGCGCCTGCCTCAGTCTTCTCACATGGACCATCGAAAAAGGTGATTGTGTTAGGAAACCATCATCAGAAGCGAAATCAAGTACAGGAACCAATCAACAGGTCATCCTACCATACATAAAAGACATATTGGAGCATACAGCACGACTACTGAAACCATTTGGAATAGGTGTGGCACATAATAAACCAACAGAATCACTTCAATCAATCCTATGTTGTAGACCAAAGGACAAAATGACGGAGGAAGAAAAACCAAATATCATCTACAAAATAAGTTGCTGAGATTGTGAAAAACACTATATAGGACAAAGTGGACGGCCTCTTCAGCTTCATTTACGTGAACAGCAATCGGCAGTTAAACGCCACGACAATTCTTAGCTTATATCAATACATACCGACAATTATGGACACATTCGATTGGAACAATGTGGAAAGACTGGATGGGCGGAGTAAAAAGAACACTTGTGTATTTTTAGAAGCTTGGCACTCACAAGTCAATCAGCAATCAACAAACACATCGACATTGACCCAATTTATCAACTAATCAGAAAAATCATAGGTGACACAGGATCAAGGAACAGATCAAAAGGGGGATGCAATCAAAACAAAGTTGCAAACAACGACAGGTTTCAGGTCAACAGCAACCAATCAAGATCGAGGTTAGCAGAACAAGCTACAGGTCAAACGTGGAGAAATTCCGAATGCTTCAATTCTATCTGAAGTTTGTGCTGATGATGTTGTTCAGTAGAACAACAATGAAAGATCCACAACAGAAACACTAAGCTCAGAAAACTAAACACCACCGCAATCATCCGAATGAGCTACAAATCTTCTCTACCATCTTAGGAATTCACTCCCAGAATGTTTGATCATTTACAGGCCTAATGCACATTAAGCAGTTGAGTGACGTCACGAAATTCAATCGCATGGTAAACGGTAATCAACAATCGGTTCGTTACGTCATTTCAACCTACAGGATCATGGAGCCCATATGCCCCATTGTGTTGAAATGGTGGTTTTTCAACTACCCTAAGTTAACCCGTCGTATCGACCACCATCATCAACCCAGTTTTAGTCATCGCTGGATATTCACTTCTTTTCTTTTCTTAGCCAAATCCCGTGACAGTGATCATATATACATAGCTGTGTAGAAGGTTTTGGAGATGGAGAGTATGCTCTTACTCGTTTAGGAGCAAAGTGTAGCGTCAAATGGGATCAGTCTATTCGATTAAGAGGTGGGATCTAGGGCGCATGTTTTGTCTTATATCAGGTAAGACAGGTCATATTTTCTTACACGAATTACTGGTCAGTTGAACACCGAGGAAGAAGTATTATCGTGAATAAGTAAAATAAGTTAAAATATCAACCTCAAGAATTTTTTCAGTGAATTCAAGGGGTTCCTTTCAATTTTTTATGAACAGTGTGAAACAGAACTATAGTGAGACCCATTATCAACCTGTGTTCTTAGTTTTATCCTAGATTATCGCATAGACGTCAAAGATAAACAACTCCTTTTTATACTGGGCTTCATATTTATAAACAAACTAGTTCCCCACATTCTCCGCCCAGTTTCCGGTGTAAACGAATAATGTGCGATGTTGAGGTCACTGAGATGACTTTCATAGCACATTGATTCAAGCTCACGAACCCGATAGTTTAAGATGATAGCACTGATTGAGTCGTTGTCATTTCATCCGAACACCTTAATTCTTAACCTTAGGATTTGTAACATGTCGTTACCACTGGACGCATGCAATCAATCGTAAATAACGATTAGCTGAAAATCATTTACTTTTTTATGATACAGAACAGAATTGCTTTTACTGGCATATTTTGAACAGCTTTTTATAGGTAGACTAATGTCTCAGTGTCACAATTTGATTTATTCATACGCTTGTCAATTGATATGCTTGAAACTCGGTAAACAGAGCTCAGATACAGTGACACGATAGGCTATTCTAATCTGATCGTCCCTGCCCTGTTAACTATATCAAGAAGTCTTGATAAGGTTTAGAAAGCGTAGTCTACAGGCAACCAGAAAGATTGAGGTTCAGGTTGTTGAGCACACAAATCAAGCTTATTTATAAAATGATAGCAATGCCCTTAGTGAGGCTACAAAATACCGTACTAAATAAAATAGGCCATCAACCAATCACAGTCAAGGATTTCCCGAGTGGGAAATGTAAGCTGAAGGTCAACTAAGCGTCTTATGCACGAAAACATAAAAAATCAACATTACAAAATTAGGACCTTTTCCAAGTGAGTTTTGAGGATCTAATGTCCGTAACATTTATTGTGTTGTGTGACGCTAGAAACAATGAGATTATAAATTCATAGATGTGCCAATCAGAGACGAGTAAGCGTTTATTCTAGTACTCAATCCCTACAGACAATCGGTTCACAGCTGTTTATCAAGGAGGATGACACAGTTGAGCCGCTTCAACAAATCGAATTACTGAGAAATTCCATTGTTTTTAATGTGGTGTTCTAGTAACTTCAGGACAGTATACAAACTGCGACCAACGATCCTGTATTTCGATTTAAAATATGTTGTCATATTCCAAGCCATGTCAGGTACGGAGACTGAAGGTCTGAGGGTGAAATCGTACTGCTGACTGTAGAGAGGTGTGACAGTATTAAGGTGTTTCCCTCGGACAACCAGCACCTTCAGCGATGTTGCGTTCTCAGAAGGAAGGAAGGACGTTAGAAAAGATCGACCCTAAAAATGTCACACCTCAGCTTACCTCGCAGATTTCCGTCTCCGGCGGTAAGGCCATTTTCTGAGCGGAGTTAATTCTTTAAGAACTTCTCACAAAAAGATCATGTGTGACCGACCTGAAGCAGTTGTCCCTTGGGCTCTGCGGTCACGCTCTAAGGTCTCTGAGACTAACAATAATCTAACTTCCTTTTCAGATTCAAACACCCTTCCACGGTGTGGGCAGCCTGTAAGTGACATCCGCCCTCATACCCGTTACAACACTCGAGACAGGTTTACGCTCGATATCGAACCTGAACAAATTTTTAATCGTATTCGAGAAATCTATGTACTCTAATTCGTTCGCTTTGTATAGGAAATGAATCCTTACTGTAGACCGATTGCTTACTGATTGGGTGACATTTTTCAAGGTTTTTCATAATTCATAAATTCTAGTCTCACCCTTCACGACTAGTATTTTTTTCGTTATGTCGATTGTTGAGTTCCATTGAACTCATTGTTTGATCATTGTTAGACCACCATTAGAAACCTGGAAGCACTGAAAGACGGCCATTGTTTCCGAGTATGCGACTCTTCAACAGTACGACTCCACGACCCCCCACTCACAAGAATTGAACAGAGGAAATTCGGTCTCACATGTGAATGCTTAACCTCTAGACCAGTGAGCCGGCATCTAACGGTCCATTGTCTTCGATGGGTAACTAACTGCATACATCCGACAGAATTGAACTCCCACTGGTCGCGACTACTCATTATTAGCATTCGGAGAAATTTCCTCATGAAGCTAGTCACAAGTGAGTACGTACTAGGCGGACAAAACGGCCATCCACCGCCTCCAGGTTTTTTAATAATGATCGATTCATAATTTCAACTCATATTTTATTTCTGTATACATGTTCCTTCTCTATCCATTCCTTCCTTTCTTCCTTTTTTTGCAGATTCATTTGTTGTATCTTGTCTATCCGAATTAGATTTAAGTTGGAATCCTCAAATTACACCGCAACAATTAAGTTGCCTATTATCTTTACATTGTTTAAATTCATTGAAATGTTTACGTTTAAGAGGATGTTCAACATATTATAAATTTTCTTCAATGCACCAACATCATCATCAGTGTTATCCATTTCAATTACCAATTAGTACATTTGATTTAACCTTGTTCGAGAAATCATTGAATATTGATCCAATGATTAAAAAAAGAATGGAAAATTTTAATCAGTCCAGTAGCGCAACCATTGGTGATCAATTATTGATTGCAGTTTGTGATGCATTAATTAAAGTAAACGTTGTTATTGATTTTTATGTTGATTTTAAAAAAAAATTTTGTTTGTTTATTTGTGCTTATTTCATCATTGAACTTTGAATAAATAAGTAGGTTTGCATTACGGGGTTGTGAAGATTGTTAAGTTACACACCTGTGCTAACTAGTGAGTGACTAGCGCTTCGTGAGGAATCTTCTCCGAGTTCTACTGTGGAGAAGACGTGACCAGTGAAGTTCAACCTGTTCGGGTGTAGACAGTAACCACTACCGAAGACTATGTATAAGGTTGCGCAACTCCGTGAATTTGATCAAGTTAGACATTAACACCGTTAAATACCGGCTCAGTGGGCGTTGGCGCACAATACCGAAGGTCCTGGGTTCGAATCCTGCGGGGTGCAGGAGTCGTGGATGTGCACTGCTGAGGAGTCCCATACCAGAACGAGACGGCCGTCGTGCAGTGCTTCCAGGTTTCTAATGGTGGTCTAACATTGATCGATTCATGGTTTCAAAAATGTGTAAATAAGTAGTTGTCAGCGGTTGACGAATGGACTTTACGAAATTAAAAAGGTTTGACGGAGTAATATAGTTGAGTGTGTTTTGACTGATTCACTTATTATACATATCTTTTTGAGCGCTTTCTTAGTCCTGTTGGTTTAGTTGTGTCTGATGAAATTTCAGTATGGATAAAAAGATTCTCGTTTGGCTTATCCTTATCTGAATTTTCAGGAGTAGACTTTTTACCAGGTGGCACGCTTATTGACTTAGAATATGCCGAAGACATGATCCTACTTGCTGAAGATGCTTACAAAATGCAGAGTCTTCTGATTACCGTAAGCAACCAAATTGGCAGACAGAGACGCAATAATCAGTTCAAATCCCCTAGTATTACAGGTAGTAAAAGTATTAGTAATGATGGAGCAGATTAGGGTTCAAGGGTATTATTCGAGAAGTATAATTCAGTGAGATATATAAACAGAAAGACAGAGATGATAAGGAATTCAGAAGATTAAAATGTCAACGAACTCAAATAGTGGATTCACTTGCGCCATTGCAAACGATTTTGAGCCATGTCATACAAGGTCTCTAATCATTGGTTACTATTGTCTCACGGAGCCCAACCAGGTAGTCGACATTTACTAACATGATAGTCCACTTGTCAACCGACGAATGTCTTTTACTCTCAATGGACTCGGACCTCGTGCTTTCTGGATGCTTGTAGAATACAGGTTCTACTTCATATCATGTCTTCTACTCAATATAGGAGTTGGAATAATCGGATTTGAGTAGCACGTCGTGTCGCTGGATCCTCGCTCTCGTATTCCGACTAAGATAAACTCGTAATAGTTCATGTATATCAAGTTGACCTGTTTACGTGCAGGCGTAACAGTTTGGAAGAAAATAACATTTCTGTTAAATAATTATTATACTTCATCATTTGTGTATAGGATTTATTTCATAATTCACATGTTTACATTTATTATACTTATTGCCCTTGATCATCAAAACTAAGAATTTTTTTTAACTGTTCAACTATTTATTCCCCTTTTATTATTTTGTCAATACAAAATATAAATAAATTTAGGGAAATATTCGTTTACAATTATTGGATATGGGTCATTGTCAATTAACGCATCATTGTTTGAATAGTTTAAAAAAGTGAGTTGATTTTTTTGTGAAAGAAAAATTCAGACATTTCTGTCTTCTCCGATTTTCTATCGTTGTATAAAATTGATGTTTAGTGTAGATTTGTGTGTGTGTATGTATGTGTGTGCGTCACTTATGGCGCAGGCGAGATATCCGCTTGCTAACCAAAGGACGAGTGTACGGTGCAGCAGTTCGCTTCGTCCTACTAATATGGTTGTGAAACATGGCCGTTAAGAGTAGAGGACATTCGTAGGTTATCAGTATTCGATTATAGATGTCTTCGAAGCATTGCTCGTGTATCCTGAGACAACCGTATAAGCAATGCTGTCGTTAGGAAACGAGTTCTAGGTAAGGATGGCAAATCAATAGATGAAGCATTGAAACTTCATCAGTTGAGGTGGTTGGAACATGTGTTAAGTATGCCTATCCACTGACTGCCTCGACGAGCTTTGTTTTGTGGTGTAGGGATAGGTTGGAAGAAAGTTAGGGGCGGCCAAACCAAAACAGGGCGGAAATGCATGAAGTCACTGACAAGTGGACTAAGTGATGTTGGTAGATGTAAGCTATCTGGTTGGGGTCCGCGAGACGAAAGTCACCGATGTTGAGCGACCTTGTATGACATGGCTCATAACCGTTTGCAATGGCGCAGGTGTATCCACTCTTTGAGTTCGGTGACATTTTAATCTTCTGAATTCCTCATCATCTCCTTCTAATTTTATCTTACTTAATTATACTTCTCGAATCATATCTTCGTTCCCTAATCTTCTCCATTACTGCTAATACTTCTATTATTGCTATCACTCTTGGATTTGAACTGACAGTTACGTCTCTGTGCTGATTGGGCATGGCAACTTGAACTGATGTACTTATGTACGAAGTTCTGCGTTGTATCTGTCCGTATGTCTGTTGTCAATTAACGCATCATTTGTTTAAATAGTTTGTGTAATAATGTTGATGTTTAGTGTAGATTTGTGTGTGTTTGTGTGTTCGAGCGAATAAGAAAGATGTTCAGCCATCTCAGATTTTCATTCCCCTAATGTGTTCAAGTGAATAAAAACAAATTATTTGAGATGAAAATTCATGTAATTTTTCTTCACAAAGTTTTCTACTTCTTCTATTCAATGGGGGGTTTTGGGAAGGTGGGATTACAGTACCTTGTCGTGTTGTCTAATCATTGATTCCTCGCTCTCGTTTACTGACTAAGGTGAACTCGTAATAGTTCAAGCATATCAATTGACGTGTTTACGTGCTTGCGTAACAAAATCTGTGAATAGGCGAATGGACTTCAATTGTATTATTTATTGATTTAAACACATAATTCTAAAGGGTTAATCCTCCAGTTTCCAACTTACAGGTTTAGTCCACAAGTTAGTGTGAAGTTAACGTTCGAAAATACAGTTCCATGGTACTTCTGGTGACTAAGAGTAGATTTACACATCATTTGTCGCCTCAAAATTGTGGAGTTCATGTACACCACTGGTTTGGTATTAGAGATTTTCAACTCCCGTAGATCGATTCTCCCTACCCATCAGTAATCCGAATAAAGCATTGGACATTCACTCTTGATCCTTTCAAACTGATAAATAGAACTTGTGCCTTAAAGAGTGTATGAATAAAATATCTTCAGTAGTGACTATAAACACATTGCCATATAAGAGGGAGAGTGGAACATTGTACTCTCGGTCGTACTAAAAGTTTTGTGTCAAGAGTAGTGGTGTTTGTACCTACGCAGACAGAGTCGACTGAATATCGAACTCAGCACTTAGGACCGCTTGTATACCCTAAACACTGAGATAGGAACAATAATAGAGCGAAGTGCAGACATTTAGTTTACCAAACTATTTGAACGTAGCACAGAGCAATGATGCTAGGCAATATCCCACCTTAAAGTCACGAAAACACCAACAACGCATACCGTAGGCTGGTTTTCCCAGATCATTATACTTCATTTGATACACCCTACTAAATCGGAAAAATAGTTGCAGGTTAATATTTTTGATAAAAAAAACCTGTGTAGTGAAAAGTCAGTGAATGTAACTTCTCTGTCAGTGTTCATAGACGTGTGAAGATATGAGTAGATCTTGAGAATGGAATCAGACTCTCTCCATTCTCATTCATACCAAAAGTTCCGTGTCATAGGTTGAATTTCAACCCACATCGACGGAGTGGTCTGCAACCTAAACTCGAACCACTTTCATATTCTGACTAATAATATAGGAACACTAACGTGGCGAAGCGCCTATATTTAGCATACAACTCTCTTTGAACTTAGCAGAGAACAATGATATTATGAACCTGTCCACATTGCTCATGACACATCAGACAACTTTAAAGTCACGAGAATGTCAACAGAGCATACTGCAAGCTGCCCACATTCCCATATCATCGTACTTCATTTGATACACCCTGCTAAATCAGAAAAATACTTGTCATGAGTGTTATCCATTAGCTAATGATTGCTCGAAAAGTGGATCAGTCAGTATTTTCCAATTCATTCCTGTAATGTTCAAGATTCTATCCTCTTAATACTGATTTATAACTGAACTCTTTTTACTGATTAACCTGTTATGTCATATCATTTGAGTACAAATGGGTCAGTCCTGACTGAAACAGTTTATTTTTTATAGATATGTCAAACAACACATCATTGACAAGGCTACCATTTATTTATGACATGAAGCGATCTGTTTTAATCTACAGCTTTTCTTTATATACATATATTGTTACGCATGCACGTAAACACGTCAATTTGATATGTTTGAACTACTACGAGTTTACCTTACTCGGAAAACGAGAGCCATGATCGAGGATCCGGCGATACAACATCCTACTCTAATCCGTGTGTCCCAACCCCCAATTGAGTAAAAGAAGACAAGACTTGATATGAAGTAGAACCTGAATTCTACAAACACCCAGAAAGTATGGGGTCCGAATCCAGAAGAGAATCAGGGTCCCGCACTAAGGATCTGAGTCCGGGTCCGCATCATATAACGTTACAGATAATGCGTATTTATACATTTAGGTCGAATGGGAAGCAACATTGAAGTACGTGACTTTGACAGTCAGGACGACCATAATTTTGACCAATAATTCGCTTAGGATATTGGATGAATATATCCTTACAATGTTTGACCCACCATATCAGACAAGTGTATCTCTGACTGCTACATTCACATAATCTTCTTGTTAATCATCACTACACCCGACCGTGGCTGCTACCTTGACGTGGTGGTCGGGCTTGCCTATCGTGATGATCCAACCGAGCTATACTGGCTGGAACATATGTTCCTGCAGGTCCTACCATGCCAGACAGGTCGATTGGAGAACGATGAGACTAAAAGCAGCTACCCAAGGTCTGAGGGCGAAGTCGTACTGCTGACTGCAGAGGGGTGTGACAGCAGTAAGGTGTTTCCCTCGGACAACCAGCATCTGCAGCGATGCTGCCTTCTCACAAGGAAGGAAGGGTTAGAAAAGGTCGGCCCTAAAAATGTCACACCTCCCCTAACTCACGGATTTCCGTCTCCTTGGGTAAGGGTGCCCACTAAGGGCCTTTAAGAACGGAGCTAATCCTCCAAATACCTCTCATAAAAAGGCCGTGCGTGACCGGCCTCAAGCAGTTGTCCCTTGGACTCTGCGGTCACGCACCAACACTAATCTATTTTCCTTTTCAGGTTCCTCAAGAAACAACCTTCCACGGTGTGGGCAGCCGGGAAGTGACAACCGCCCTCATACCCATAACAGCACGCGAGACCAAATTGGTCAAAATCAAATCCTTCCTACACCCCCTAATGTCTCTCTTATCTCCACGACTAACTCTTCTCACATTCATTCATCACATTGCACAGCTAATGCAGACGATACGAGTTCGCGAAAGGTCGTTCCTGGTCTCCTTAAACCTCGCTCTAGACTACATGTTGGAGCATTTAATGTACGGACATTGTGTCAAATAGGGCAACAGGCTTCCTTAGCTATGACTTTAGAATCTCGTGCCATCGATGTATGCTGCGTCTCGGAAACGCGCATACAGGATCCGAGTCACGTCATACACTTGACCACACCATGTCAAAATAAAGAAGCAGCTCGATTTACTCTTCGTGTATCCGGTAGCCCTGATGCTGCTTCCAGGGGTCTTGCTGGCGTAGGCATAGCATTGAGTCGTAGGGCAGAACAATCTCTCCTTGACTGGATCCCAATAGATAGTCGATTGTGCGCTGTCCGACTAAACGGGACAGTAAGGACTCGGAAAGATAGGGACAATCGCCGTTGCCTCTTCATCGTATCTGCCTATGCCCCCACTGAATGCAGTTCAGACGAGGTTAAGGATGAGTTTTACAGAAAGCTTTCGGACCTCCTCCAAAAAGCTAGGCGCTCTGATATAGTAATAATGGCTGGTGACTTTAATGCTCAAGTAGGTAGACTAAGTGAGCAGGAGAGACACCTAGGTGGATGTTATGGTGTCGCGGCTCAGAGAACAGACAATGGTGACCGTCTGTTGCAAACATGCTCAGACAACCGCCTATTCTTAGCAAACACTAACTTTAGGCATAAGGAAAAGCACCTGTTGACCTGGCGACCTCCAAAGTCGTCTCAACGTTGGACTCAACTAGATCACATCGCCATCAGCCACCGATGGAGGGGTTCGATAGAGGACTGTCGCTCGTTCTGGGGCACATGTTTGGATTCAGATCATGCCCTAGTGCGAGCGCGTATTTGTTTGAAGCTTACTGGGCGTAGGAAAGACACCGTAAGAAAGCCTCTTAGGGTTTTGCTTAATGATAATAAGGCGAAAAATATATTTCAGGAACAACTAGAAAGACAGTAAGGCGACCATTTAAGCGATTCCCATCCGGAAGCAGGATGGAATGATATCAAAAAGGCTGTGGAAACAGCAGTGATATCTACTAGTGAGGTTGACCATAAGGCTAGAATGAAACCGTGGATCTCAGTAGCATCCACCGATCTGATGGATGCCCGAAAACTCATCCCACCTGGCTCTGAGCATGATGAAGAACGAAGTCAACTTAGGCGCAGACTTATGAAAAGCCTACGTAAGGATCGCGAGCAGTGGTGGGTGGTGAAAGCAAAAGCGATGGAAAAGGCAGCGGCGATCGGCAACAGTAGACAACTTTTCCGCCTTATTAAAGAAACTGGTATTAAGAACCCGAATGTGAGTGAGACTATCTCGGAAAAGGATGGTCTTATTATCCATTCTCAATCCAGGAGACTGGATCGATGGGCAGAACACTTTAGGGATCAGTTCAACTGGCCACGAGCCACTCTTCGGTTACCCACGATCTCCAGTCATCCTGAATGGCAAATCGACCTAAGTCCCCCTAGTCTTAATGAAGTTGAGAAAGCGTTAGGAAATCTGAAACGAGGACGAGCTGCAGGTCCTGATAGACTGACGCCTGAGATATTTAAGGATGGTGGTCCAGTTTTATCAGCTAGGTTGACTGAGATCTTAGGTAGAATCTGGGAACTGGACGCAATCCCATCCGACTGGTCTCAATCCTTGATTGTCCCAATCTATAAGAAAGGACAAAAGTCTTCTTGTGACAATCACAGGGGAATAAGCCTAACTAACATAGTATCTAAAATATTGGCCTCAATAATACTTCGACGCTTAACGAAAGCTCGTGAAGAGCAAACTCGGGAAAACCAATCTGGTTTTCGACCTGGACGTGGCTGTATAGACCACATTTTCACACTACGACAGGTCCTGGAACACAGACACACATTTAGGCGTCCTACAATAGTTGTTTTCCTGGACCTTAAGGCAGCATTTGACTCAGTGGATCGTGAGGTTCTGTGGCAGTGTCTGTCATTGAAAGGTGTACCAAAGAAGTACATTAACCTTATACAAGCTCTTTACTCGAACACCACTGGTCGAGTGAGAGCTTATGGCGAACTGTCACCGGAATTCTCTACATCAAGTGGTGTCCGTCAGGGCTGCCCACTTTCTCCATTCTTGTTTAATTTTATCATAGACATGCTCCTAGACATAACATTATCCTCGTCTGAATTTTCTGGAGTAGAACTTCTACCAGGTGGCTCGCTTATTGACTTAGAATATGCCGATGACATTGTCCTACTTGGTGAAGACGCTGACAAAATGCAGAGTCTTCTGACTACCCTAAGCAACAATGCAAGCATGTTCGGGATGCGGTTTTCCCCTTCGAAATGCAAAATGTTGCTTCAAGACTGGGTGTCATCGGCACCTGAACTAGTGATAGGGAGTGAAGTGGTCGAACGTGTAGACCGCTTCACCTATCTTGGGAGTCTCATCAGTGCTGATGGCCTGGTGACTGACGAAATCTCGGCACGGATACAGAAGGCTCGATTGGCTTTTGCCAACCTGCGTCACTTATGGCGTAGGCGAGATATCTGTTTGCTGACTAAAGGACGAGTGTACTGCGCAGTGGTTCGCTCTGTCTTACTTTATGGCTGTGAAACATGGCCAATGAGAGTAGAAGATACTCGACGGTTATTGGTTTTCGATCATAGGTGTCTTCGAAGCATTGCTCGTATATCGTGGGACACCCGAGTTAGCAACTCTGTTATTAGGAAACGGGTACTAGGTAAGAATGGCAGATCAATCGATGAAGTGGTGAAACTTCATCGGTTGAGGTGGTTGGGACACGTGTTGCGTATGCCTAACCACCGACTGCCTCGTCGAGCTTTGTTTTGTGGTGTAGGAATAGGTTGGAAGAAAGTTAGGGGCGGTCAAACCAAAACATGGCATAAATCCATGAAGTCATTGACGAGTGGACTTAGCCATGTCGGTAATTGTCGACTACCTGGTTGGGGTCCACGAGATGATAATAATCGATGGTTAGAGACCTTGAATGACATGGCTCAAAATCGTTCGCAATGGCGCCAGTGCATTTATTCTTTGTGTTCTCTCAAATCCTAATCTTCTGAGTTCTTCAACACCTCTAGCTTTTACTTTCTAAACTTATCTCATTGAATCACACTTCGTGAATAATATCTTCTAATTCTAACGTCTACGATTACTTCTAATACCTTTACTACCTCTTCTACTATTGGATTTGAATTGACAATTATATCTCTGTGCTGATGTGGTATGGCGACATGAACTGATGTACTTACGTACAAAGTTCTACGTTGCAACTGACTGACTGACTGAATCATCACTACAAGAACTTACACTTGATTTCTAAATTACCTAGTGATTTTTTTGTACACGTTTTTTTACGTTATTTGTCACATTGACTTAAGAGAACCAATCATAAGTATTCTACTCCTAAGGTCATTTGATGTCTTGAAGGATAAGTGCATATCATTTGTTAAGAATTCATTTTCTAAGGAGGTGCATAACTTGATAGAATTTCTCTTCCAATCTAACCTTCTCATCACCAATTAGTCAATTTGAGTATTTGGATATGTATCACAATCAGATCTGATGTAGCATACTGTACTTCATAATAATATTTCATAGAATTATGCATTTCTAAGATTCATCATCACCTCATCTAGTGTTTTTTTTCATTTAAACACACGTTTTTTTTAATAAAAAATCTTGTTTTTAGTTTATTTGGTACTCCAGGAACTTCAATAACCAGTTTATTAATCGATCATAATCCAATGTTAAGCAATGTCATTGTTTCGAATGATTGTCCATTTCCATCATGGATTCAAATTATTCAAGCGATTACGCAACCAGCTTCAGCATTGGTTAGTCTAACTATTGATCTACCTCAAAGTAGGTGTTTTGTACTTTTTTTATTGGTGTTGTGTTGTCTTGATTATAGAGTTATGGAGATTGTTGTCTGTTAATGGAATCATGAATCATTCATTATTAAACTACTACTACTAGAAATCTGGTCTAGACATTAGGCGTTCGCTTGCAAGATCGAAGATTCTGGGTTCGTCTCCTGCGCAAAGCAGGAGTTGTAGTTGCTCACTGCTACTGGTGAGTCTACTAATAACAGGGCTAGATTTCCATCCAATGCTTTCAGGTTCCTTCTAACGGTGGTGGTCTAACATTGATCGATTCATGATTTATTGATTTATTATCATTTAGATGATCATTCCGGCTTTCAGTTTTTTTTTGAAGACTTTTGTTCTGTAGTGGGAGAGATTGTGGTGCAAGTTTAACATACATTCAAGGATTAAACTGTTAATTGATTTTCATGAGGACGGGTGTACTGCTCAGTAGTTCGCTCCGTCCTTCTTTATGTTTGCGAGACATGGTCAGTAAGAATAGAGGATGTTCGTAGGTTACTGGTATTCTATCATAGATGTCTCCGTAGAATTGCTCTTTCATCTTGGTATTATCGAGTAAGAAATTCTGGTGTTAAGATACAGTTACTAGGTAAAGGTGGCAGGTCAGTCAGTCAGATGCAACGAAGAACTTCGTACGTAAGTACATCAGTTCATGTTGCCATACCACATCAGCACACAGATGTAATTGTCAATTCAAATCCAATAGTAGAAGAGGTAGTAAAGGTATTAGAAGTAATCGGAGAGGTTAGGATTAGAAGATGTTATTCAAGAAGTATGATTCAGTGAGAAAAGTTTAGAAAGTCAGGTCAATAGATGAAGTATTGAAACTTCGTCAGTTGAGTTTTTGGGATAGGTGTCACATATGCGTAACACATGTACGTATATACTACTATGGGATTTGAATTGACAGTTGCATTTCTGTGCTAATGTATGGTATGACAACTTGAACTGATGTTCGTATGTACGAAGTTCTACGTTGTAACTAACTGACTGACTGACCGAGCGACCTCATCTCGTAGAAATCCACGCTTTGTATGACCAGTGTAATTCTCTTCAAATGAGCAAGTAAACTGATAAATACTGATTGGTTTCCCAGTCAGAGTTATAGAGATTAGGGTTTTTTCGCACATTGAAATCATCAATCAATCATTGTTCAACCATTATTAGAAACCTGTATGTATCAGACAGCCGTTTCGTCCTGGTATGGGACTCATTAGTATCACTGCGTATTCGCGACTCCTGTACCTCACAGGATTTGAACACAGGACCTTCGGTCTTACGCGCGAACGCCAAACTTCTGGACCACTGGGCCGGTCATCCAACGGTGTTATTGTTTAACCGTAATCAATCTAGAGATTATTTTGCGCAACCTCATCCAGAATTGAACTTCACGTGACCAGTGGATTGGTAGTCTAACAATGATTGATTGATTGTGTTGGGTCAAAGTGACGACAGTCCCTATCATGGACATACTTACCTTAATGAGTTTCCATATTAACTTACCCTCTTTTCACTCCTAACTAGTTTCCTCAAAATTCCAAATTTCTTCTTTTCATTTATCTAGTTCCTGATAATGATTTAAATGCATTAACTGTTACAATTAATTCAATTGAAGCAAAACTTTCACCTACACTCTCATCAACACCATTACAAGAATTAAGTATTATCATATCGAATGGAACAGTAGATGATTGGACTAATGAAGATACATTCAATTATCAAAATCAATCAATCAAATGTCGTTTCTTTCGTATGCTATCAAATTTATTCACTAAACGATTTGGTAAATTAATCAAGATTACACGAAAAAATCATTCTGTAACATTTAGCATTTTATAGATTGATTGATTGGTTGATTATGTTGTATATATATGGGAATTTTCTGTTTGTTTGTTCAGATTTCATTTTTTTCCCTATTGGTTTATTGATTATTTTAATCTTTCCGATGTTTTCTCATTGTTATACTGGAGGACACACACTGTTTCGATTTCATACATACCATTTTCAGTTTATGTAAATTCTATGACGAGTATTATGATGTGTGTAAATAAAGATGTGGTTGGTGATTCTCGCCGCCGCCGCCGCCGCCCCCACCCCATTTTATTGTTCTGTTTTATGTGTACTTTGTAATCATATATATGATAATGTTTATCATGTTTTGCTCATCTCAGCAGTGACTAGCATCGTAAGGAGTTGTTAGTGAGAAGAAGGTTATACAAGATAGTAGTGGATTGATCGGAGGTAGGCATTAACACAGTTGGATGCGTGCTCAGTGATTATCTAGAGATTAAGCATTTGTACGTGAGACCTTTTATCCTAGGTTCGATTTTTGCTATTGGCAGTCGTGGACGCGCTTTTCTGATGAGTTTGTGGTGGACCAATCAATATATTATTTCAAAATATTAACAAAGTTATTCAATACCAATGAATGTATATTGAAATATATCAGTTAAATGTGATAAATACAATAAAAATATAAGGACGTTACTTTATACGGCTACTTGTGCGTGTTCGATTGTGATTGGTAATATAAATCCACAATTATAGAAATGTTAGTGATCCAAATGGTGTAATTATCCGTAGAGTAGCATATATGTATGACTGCAGTCTATAAAGTAGATAATATATGTATTAGACTCGAGATAGCGTTCTAATGAGAACATGAGATATGCGTATAAAGTGTATTTGATAGGATGCGGCAGTGAGTGCCGTGGTATGTGTACAGTGAACGGAAAAAAGGTGAGTAGTCAACGCTACTCGTTTCCAAGGCAACACACTTAAACAACATGTACAATCATTTAATAGTAAATGTAAAAGCAGTGCAAAATTAACAGAATAAATACAAAATAAGTTTGTCATACCTATATGCACAAGTTCCATACTTGGACTTGAAGGCCATCTAGTAGTGGCCTGAGGTTTAACATTGATTTATTCATGATTTCGAAATAACTAAACAACAATCTCCAGAATCCTACAGTGAAAATAATAATTAGATTTGTTATTGAAGCGTTCAGCTAGGTATGCAATGGCGCAAGTGCATCCATTCGTTGTGCTCTTTCAAATCCTAATCTTCTGGAATCGTCAGCTCCTCTATCTTTGTCTTTCTAACCTTATTTCACTGAATTATACTTCTTGAATAATATCTTCAAACCCTAGTCTTTTTCATTACCATTAATACCTCTACTATCTTTATGGGATTTGATTTGACATTTGCTTCTCTGTGCTAATGTGGTGTGGCAACATGAACTTATGTACATACGTACGAAGTTCTTACGTTGCAACTGACTGACTGACTGCTAGTTATGCTATCAGTACATAATTGATGGCTGTGAAACATGGTCAGTAAGAGTAGAGGGGATATTCGTAGGTTTCTGGTTTTAGATCATAGCTGTCTCCGAAGCATTGTTCGTGTATCCTGGGACAACTGAGTAAGCAATACTGTTCTTAGGAAAAGAGTTCTAGGACGTGTTACTAACGCCCAACCACTGACTGCCTCGTCGATCTGTGTTCTGTGGTGTAGGAGTTGGCTGGCGGAAAGCTAGGGGCGGCCAAAACAAAAGACGGCACAAATCCATGTGGCCTGATCAATCAAAACCACATTGGTGTAATTATTTTAAATTGGATGGTTCTTAGTAGTTCAGTGAATGAACAGTTTATTGATTCCCGACCGTAGCTGCTACCTTGACGTGGTGGTTGGGCTTGCCTATCGTGATGACCCAACCGAGCTATATTGGCTGGAACATATGTTCCTCAAGGTTCTACCATGTCAGACAGGTCGATTGGAGAACGATGAGACTAAAAACAGCTACCCAAGGTCTGAGGGGAAGTCGTACTGCTGACTGCAGAGGGGTGTGACAGCAGTAAGGTGTTTCCCTCGGACAACCAGCATCTGCAGCGATGCTGCCTTCTCACAAGGAAGGAAGGGTTAGAAAAGGTCGGCCCTAAAAATGTCACACCTCCCCTAACTCACGGATTTCCGTCTCCTTGGGTAAGGGTGCCCACTAAGGGCCTTTAAGAACGGAGCTAATCCTCAAAAAACATTTCATAAAAAGGCCGTGCGTGACCGGCCTCAAGCAGTTGTCCCTTGGACTCTGCGGTCACGCACCAACACTAATCTATCTTCCTTTTCAGGTTCCTCAAGAAACAACCTTCCACGGTGTGGGCAGCCGGGAAGTGACAACCGCCCTCATACCCATAACAGCACGCGAGACCAAATTGGTCAAAATCAAATCCTTCCTTCACCCCCTAATGTCTCTCGTTTCTGCACGACTAACTCTTCTCACATTCATTCATCACAGTGCACAGCTAATGCAGACGATACGAGCTCGCGAAAGGTCGTTCCTGGTCTCCTTAAACCTCGCTCTAGACTACATGTTGGAGCATTTAATGTACGGACATTGTGTCAAATAGGGCAACAGGCTTCCTTAGCTAGGACTTTAGAATCTCGTGCCATCGATGTATGCTGCGTCTCGGAAACGCACATACAGGATCCGAGTCGCGTCATACACTTGGCCACACCATGTCAAAATAAAGAAGCAGCTCGATTTACTCTTCGTGTATCCGGTAGCCCTGATGCTGCTTCCAGGGGTCTTGCTGGCGTAGGCATAGCATTGAGTCGTAGGGCAGAACAATCTCTCCTTGACTGGATACCAATAGATAGTCGCTTGTGCGCTGTCCGACAGAACGGGACAGTAAGGACTCGGAAAGATAGGGACAATCGCCGTTGCCTCTTCATCGTATCTGCCTATGCCCCCACTGACTGCAGTGCAGACGAGGTGAAGGACGAGTTCTACAGAAAGCTTTCGGACCTCCTCCAAAAAGCTAGGCGCTCTGATATAGTAATAATGGCTGGTGACTTTAATGCTCAAGTAGGTAGACTAAGTGAGCAGGAGAAATACCTAGGTGGATGTTATGGTGTCGCGGCTCAGAGAACAGACAATGGTGACCGTCTGTTGCAAACATGCTCAGACAACCGCCTATTCTTAGCGAACACTAACTTTAGGCATAAGGAAAAGCATCTGTTGACCTGGCGACCTCCAAAGTCGTCTCAACGTTGGACTCAACTAGATCACATCGCCATCAGCCACCGATGGAGGGATTCGATAGAGGACTGTCGCTCGTTCTGGGGCACATGCTTAGATTCAGATCATGCCCTAGTGCGAGCGCGTATTTGTTTGAAGCTTACTGGGCGTAGGAAAGACACCGTAAGAAAGCCTCTTAGGGTTTTACTTAATGATAATAAGGCGAAAAGTATATTTCAGGAACAACTAGAAAGACAGTAAGGCGACCATTTAAGCGATTCCCATCCGGAAGCAGGATGGAATGATATCAAAAAGGCTGTGGAAACAGCAGTGATATCTGCTAGTAAGGTTGACCATAAGGCTAGAATGAAACCGTGGATCTCAGTAGCATCCACCGATCTGATGGATGCCCGAAAACTCATCCCACCTGGCTCTGAGCATGATGAAGAACGAAGTCAACTTAGGCGCAGACTTATGAAAAGCCTACGTAACGATCGCGAACAGTGGTGGGTGGCGAAAGCGAAAGCGATGGAAAAGGCAGCGGCGATCGGCAACAGTAGACAACTTTTCCGCCTTATTAAAGAAACTGGTATTAAGAACCCGAATGTGAGTGAGACTATCTCGGAAAAGGATGGTCTTATTATCCATTCTCAATCCAGGAGACTGGATCGATGGGCAGAACACTTTAGGGATCAGTTCAACTGGCCACGAGCCACTCTTCGGTTACCCACGATCTCCAGTCATCCTGAATGGCAAATCGACCTAAGTCCCCCTAGTCTTAATGACGTTGAGAAAGCGTTAGGAAATCTGAAACGAGGACGAGCTGCAGGTCCTGATAGACTGACTGTAGAATTCTTTTTGAATGTTTTGTTTTTGGGAAAATCCCTCCATGTTTACATATTTTTGCTATGACATGATGGACTTTTTCTCTTGACATTTTTGGTATTTATTTGATTCCAATTTGAGATTTTTACCATTGTATGTTGTTATTCTTTCTATATTTTGTACTTATATTGAAGTTTTTGTGTTTGCTTTTGAACTGTACATATATTGTTTAAATTTGATATAATATGGCTACCGCCACATTTTTGGATAGACGCGGTGGCTGCTGGACTTAGTGTCACTTACTAGCTATTGTAATAGATACTCTACGGAGTAATTTAGTCCTGGAAGAAACAAAAATACCAGACGTTTTCTCCTAGAAAATTTGACCTTTTGATTTGGCTGGAACCTGGATCTAGGAGTAACGTACAGGAGTGTTTCTATTGGACGCGATTAGGACAGCCGCCGTCGAAATAGATTCTACACTGACCCTTGAGATATTTAAGGATGGTGGTTCAGTTTTAGCAGCTAGGTTGACTGGGATCTTAGGTAGAATCTGGGAACTGGACGTTATCCCATCCGACTGGTCTGAATCACTGATTGTCCCAATCTATAAGAAAGGACAGAAGTCTTCTTGTGACAATCACAGGGGAATAAGTCTAACTAACATAGTATCTAAAATATTGGCCTCAATAATACATCGACGCTTAACGAAAGCTCGTGAAGAGCAGACTCGAGAAAACCAATCTGGTTTTCGACCTGGACGTGGCTGTATAGACCACATTTTCACACTACGACAGGTCCTGGAACACAGACACACATTTAGGCGTCCTACAATAGTTGTTTTCCTAGACCTTAAGGCGGCATTTGACTCTGTGGATCGTGAGGTTCTGTGGCAGTGTCTGTCATTGAAAGGTGTACCAAATAAGTACATTAACCTCATACAAGCTCTCTTCTCGAACACCACTGGTCGAGTGAGAGCTTATGGCGAACTGTCACCGGAATTCTCTACATCAAGTGGTGTCCGTCAGGGATGTCCACTTTCTCCATTCTTGTTTAATTTTATCATAGACATGCTCCTAGAAATTACCTTATCCTCGTCTGAATTTTTTGGAGTAGACCTTTTACCAGGTGGCTCGCTTATTGACTTAGAATATGCCGATGACATAGTCCTACTTGGTGAAGACGCTGACAAAATGCAGAGTCTTCTGACTACCCTAAGCAACAATGCGAGCATGTTCGGGATGCGGTTTTCTCCCTCGAAATGCAA